CACCGTAACCACTGCTGAATATAGCTGGAAGTCAAATTTAACTTCTTAAAACCATTAAATATATCGTTGTTTCTTTTTTAAAAAAAAGTAGCCATTTTGGAATATTTAGGCAGCACGCAGATCGACTGTTATGCGTACTACATTTCTTGTACTTGAATTGTAACTAGATGAAATCACTGTGAAAGCAGCAATGTAGAAGGCGTTTAAGCGCGTAAGATTGGGACTAGTGTAATCCCGTCGTCCCTGTTATTCGCCGCTCTGTTCGCCTTTTCCTACTTTCACCTGCGGGTGAACCATGCTACCATGTTTCTCACACCATTTAGTACCATCGCCTCAGGGAATTGCAATTGAATGTAAATTACAAATTGTACTGAGTTTGTTGGTCCCCATTTTAGTGTCTTTGCCTTGCCGTGGAAGCGTCTCTGCTCAGCCACACTCTACCCCGTCTAAGTGAAAGCCACCGAGGCGCTGGAGACCCAAAAGAGGCCAGTGTTTCCCCCTGCAACTCAACCAGTGAAAGCTCTTTGTTCCGCCTCCCTGCCCCCATCTCCCAGCTTCTCCAAATGGGCTTCCGTGTTCGGGACATCCTGACGGCCGTCGAATATCTCGGTGGTCCATCGACTTCACAGATGGCTGCCCTCCTACAAACTGCTGCTCTCACCAACACCTCTGTCCCTCATCTCTCCCAACCCCTCCCCAAGCTGGATAGTCTTATCGATTTTTTGCTTATGAAGCCCAATTTCGGGGATAACCTTGAAGAGGAGGACAACTTTGAGGCCAATTGGATCGAAGACTGCAAGCGAATCTTGGACAATAGGAATAACGACGACGGCGGACATCGATTGTTCAACTTGGATTTAGATGTAGACGACGTTCCATGCGAGTTTATCAAAGGCCTCGATGACGCACAGGTGCGAGTCGCGTTTGATGCGATGTTGGGGCTGGAGGAGGAACGGAATGACCCAAGTCATCGTCGAGGTGCTGGAAGTCGCCGTACATCCCTCGGTACGTTTAAGCTCTATTTTCAATGCTATACAGCATCGTTTACCCGAATCAGGCCATTCGCTAACCTGTTTGTGCGTTCACAACAAAAAATAGTATGCCTTGAGTCATTTCCTGGCAAGCTTTTTCAAAAGCCCTCAAATGGTGCTCTGTTTTTTTTAGAAGGCCCGGGCCGAAGAACAATGGAACAATTGATCGAATACGATGTGAGTGATCGAAGAATGACAAGTTGCTTTAAATCCAAGTCTTAAGATAAGTGTGTAGAGTGACAAGAGAACCACTAGTGGGTAAAGAAGGACCCGATGATCCGATCTATGCGATCATAGGTTTGTCTCTGTATTATGAATAGCCCTGAGGTGCTATTTTATGTAAAGCTAGAGGCGTTCACTTCGTGGCCTGCTGGTCAATCCCTTCGTTTTAGTTCGCTTTTGTCAGCAAACACGTGAAAATCGTGGAGGGTTCCTGCTTGTCCTTTGTGCCATCACACTTTGTCAGGTTGAGCTCACGTCAAGGCTATTGCATCCACCTCACATCCTTTTTCTACTCTGACACCCGTAGTGCCACCTTGGGGCACTGCAGTGCGTTTCTCACGTCCACGATGAGCTATGCGTGAGCTGTGAGAATCGGGAAGGGAGATGTGTTAGCCAATGAGCAGTTGACGAAGAGGGTTGCAAGGATATTTAGCATCTCCCGCGAAACCTGTTCAAACGGTCCCCCTAAAGGCTTTCCAGTTCCCCAGATGTCGCTTACACCACTCAGTACTTTTTTTTTAAGATGTGAACACTTCTTTGTTGTGCATCAACCGTTTCTCTAGCCTCGTAGGACAAAGGTTTCATTTTACGGAAAGGTATTTGGTGGATTTTGGTTAGGCGCTTAAAGTTCAAGACCTTAATTGGCTATATTCTTGTCACCGAGATGTGTGGTTCAATGGAGGAGAGATTGAAGTGTGACTCCGATCGAGTTTGTGTCATCGCAAAACACCTTTTTTTCCCAATTTACGAGTTCATTCCTAGTTAGTCAAACTGCCACTGACAAGGGCTCTGTGTGAATACAATCTAATGTATTTTCCACAATCAACCGCATTTAAGGCGGCCAGGTGCTACAAGGCAGAATTTGTGGACGCATTCTTGGGGCACCCCTTTGTTCTTTTCTGGTCAAGTCCCACCTCATCCCTATGCTGTGCTAGCGAACATTACCAAGCGAAAAACAATGGAGTCAAATTACTAGTCGTTGTGGCTTTCCGGACCACGACAGTGTGTTTACGCAGCCACCATCGGTGAATTGATCTTATTGTTGACAATGTGTTGTCGGTAGGGCCTGTTTAATCACGTCCCCGAATGCTGACTTTATTTGTGTACTATTTGCCAGACGGACACATAGCGAGACGCTGGTAGTTGATCGCTTTTTGTTTGATACATTTTCGCCTCTGTTAAAGCCAATCGTTGCGGTTGCGCGTCACACCGCAGTCCCCTTCCGAGAGGAGTTACCGCGTCGACATGCACGCTCCCCCGCGGCCTCAACGTCCACACTGCGGCTTGAGGCGGAGGAGGAGGAGGAGCCTGGGCGTTGCAGTCACGGGCGTCTCCGAGCTTCGTGCCTGTTGTGTAAGCGCGTCGCTTCTTGCCTCTTCCAGTCATTCTTTCCTTTAGCAACACGTATGCAACTCACTTTGAATAAGCGATGCACTAGTCTGTCGCAGACGGGGATTTACTGTGCCAGGTGCTCGTCCAGAGTTGACTGGGGTTTATTCTCGTCAACCCCTCACTGAGATCCTGGCTTTTCTAGCATTATATTGTGGTTTAAATAGTCTTCTCAACAATGTTATTAATCGCAGCTGCATAGGAGACTCTTTTTCTCACATATGAAATGATTTTGAGCATTCATTGACTGGTGTCTCACACTCACAATCTTAACCGGTCTATTTCACGCCTGTCCTGTTCTTTATTGAAGGCTATCTCCTGAAGAGGAGATTTCGCGCAAGAGTGCCTCCGAGCGAAAGTAAAGCTCTTCTTTATTGTCCCCATAACCGGCGACACATCACTGACCAAACTATGGGCAGCTTACCACTTTGAGTTCCTGAGTCACTTTATAATCATTACAGGTGAGGATCAAGCCTTGGGGCGCACTGCCGTATCGCCACAATCACGTGGCCGTCGAATATCCAAATCCACACGTCAGGATCTCTCGGTCCTTCCATCCCAAAGTTCATCTTCTCCCGCCGTCTCAGCCCCTCTTTCCGACCAACGAAGATCCGCGGAACCGCAGGTGGGCGATCGGGTGTGCATCACGGCGAGTGAGCCCTTGTGGGGGTGGGGCAAGGTAAGGGACTCTCTCCATTTGCTGCTCTGCATTCTTGATTTGGCCGGGCTCAAAGTCAGCGCTCGTTTTCCTTCGTATTTCTTTAAATTGAGGCAGCCGCACAAGCACAACCTCAAAATGATAGATGTAGCTTTCAGACACCCTTGCACTCTGAATCGGTCACGAGGCAACCAAGTGTACGTACATTGAGTCTTTTACCTACGGCAAATCGAACGCACACCGTCTGCGCCCTCTCTTATATACCTTGAATGTTCTCTCTCGCACAGGTCCAACGCGGTAGTGTGGGCGTAGTGACAGACAGCCTATGCGTCGACGCCGACTTCGAGTTCCCTCGCCCCCTGTCCCCCAGTGAGGTGAACCCCAAAAACGGACGCGTCCGCATCATCCAAGTGCACTTTCCCGAACAGCCTAGCTGGACTGGTCTCGTCTCTGAAGTGTGTCTCCATCGTGGCGATATGACTTCAACTAGGAGTTACACAGGTGATAGTATCGCCACCACTGAGGTCGAGGCCTCTACTAAGAATTGGAACGAGGACGACGAGGATGACCCATTTTCTCTTGCTAATCCCATTTTGGTAGGTGTTTTAAACTGACAAAGGGGTTCCGACTTTACCATCTTGTCTTGCGAACCCAAAGTGTACGGCTTGTCAAGTCTCACATCCATTAAGTCGATTTAATCCTTGGACCAAAGTGGAATTTCACTAGTTTGGATACCATAATTTTGTCATTTTGTCTAACTTTTAATTCACCACATTTCAATAGTTAGGTGTTCCTCCAGATCCTGTCAATCAAATTATGGTTGATGTTTCCGCCTATGTTTTAGCATGACGCCATTCCTAGTCGGATGGTGATTGTCGGTGTCCATTTTCGATTGGCGCATAAACTAAGTGGAGCTGACTAGCATGAAACTGCTAGTCTTTTGACCGGTTAATAAAGGTTGATCTTCTTGATGGCGTGTGCCCTTGGAACAACTTTGTCGCCAGATATTCCAAGTCGTTTTCTAACCTTGAATACTTACATTTCTCAAAATAAGTTAGATATTACGGTTTCCTGAAAATTAGCTTTTTGATTTCCAATCTGGGGAACTTTGGGCTTAAAATTTCTATAAGTGTACGTTTTAACCCTTTCCAAGTGTAATGATCACCCTTGCGGCATCCCTACGATGTCCTCAAGCTCTTCGCCGCACTGCGGACACAATCATCCGTTGGCCACGTGCTTGGTGAACATCTGGCAGATGTCCGTTGGCCACTTAGGTATGCATTTTGTGTCTGGCTTTATCCATTTCAGCTCATCAAAATCACTTACATTGGAAATTTCACTCCGAGTACATTACGTGTTAGGTTAATTCGAAACTTTCATATCAGGAGAACACTGTGTTCAGCCTCTTTTAGCACATGCAACTCCAATTTTCCCATATAAATAGTTCCTCTTCCCGGGTATCTTGTCAGCGGCGTAGGACGTGATTTTGTTGTAAACGTGGGATGCGGTGGATGTTTGTGCTAAAACTTTGGTAAAGGGTGAATCCCTTATGCAGAAAATAATTCGCCGACTTTGTAGAGCCTGTGACGCCTCTGGACAGGAGTTGGATGAGCCACTTGATTTCCACCGCCCGTCAAAATGTCAAATTACTTGCCGCTTGGCGTGCTGAGCGAGAGGCCCCTCTTTGGGGATCCCCGCGAATGTCTCAGGATGAGGCAAAAGATGTGCCAACCCCATCGGTCGCATCTGGCACGAAGTCTCGGACATCATTTTCTCGACACACCCGACGTTGGCCAGTTGAAGAGACCGACAACGACAAGAGGTACCTGGTTTGTTGCCTGGTTTTGTGCAGTGGAGCTTCGTAATGGCTACTGTCACATTGAACTCGAGCCGCTGTGTTTCATTCCCCTCATGTTACCTTCTAGCCAGACAAAGGAGCTTTTGACTTCGAGTGCACCACATCCAGGGGACGTTTACGTCTGGGGCCTCAACGACAGGGATCAACTTGGCGGTCCACGGGACTCGAAGATCAAATCGCCCGTCTTAAACCCCTCACTCTGTGACCTCAAACCCGCTCAAATTGTCGGCGGTTCGAAGTGTCTTTTTATTGTGACAGAGGTAGTCTTTTATACTTCTCTTGGTCCAACTCCTCCTAGCTTTCTGACTTTTGCCACAATCTTAAGCAGTTTTTGCGCCCGTTAAGTGTGTCACAGTGGTTGTTTGTTGGAATCGGCTTATCTGAATCGCCTGAAAATTTAAATCTCACATATGGTGGGTTTATGGAACCCGGCCAAATCGAATCATCTGTCCGCGTTACATTCACTTCAAATGCCATCTGTGCATGAGCTTGTAGTGAGTCGTGTTGATTCACGTCCAGTAACCCGGTCGTCGCATGCTCACTCACACGTCCCCCTTTTCACGCCGTGTCCGTCAGTCACTAGGCCCATCTGCTTTTCACCCTTATACAAGCACCATCCATACCCTTTTTATCCAATTGGTCATTCAGACGTTTGTACTTTTACTAGTCAACTCTGACTGTGTCAACCATGCATTGCCTTTAGTACATTCACATGACACACAATATGGCTGAGCCATCCAGTAGTTGGTTATTCCTCGCGGTTCATCTTCGTGGGCATTAGAGTAGCGTAAACGGGTTAGATTCAACGCAGTGGCCCGGGAGTAGTAAAGAATTGTTGTGGGCCCCAGCATGTGGTCTTGAACCACGCCGGGGCCACGGAATTAACCCTGGCCCGATTACGTTTCCTTGATACCTGCGATGAAGGAAAAGATCGGAGAGGACGGACAACCATTTACTTTAGAGCTCAACCTCGTTGGTCTCGTGTGTGGAGTTCGCGCGTGTGTATTTATGTCTCGGATGTATGAGTCATGCATGCGCTAACATCGAGACCTCAGTGTGGGGGTACTCCAAGATAAATTTTCGTGCTAATGAAGGGGGAGTTGAGGATTCGTGCGCCTGGCGACATGCTGTGAAAAGGGGAACCCTGTGTACAAGGTGGAGCGACCGGATTAAGGGATTAAATAAACACGATTCACGACAAAACTAACATGCCAGGGGCCCCAACAATTGCATTCAAATCAGAAGTATCGCGTCAAGTTAATTGCGAGGTTTCATCAAATTAATTCCTATGTACCAAATCAATCGCATGATGCAAATAAATTTGGTGTTTCAAGACGCACACGTAAAAGTTCCAGAGAGTACTAACAATGTGTACATTTATCGATTCACACCTCAACAGTGGTTTCTGGACACCTTTATTCTTGGCTGAATGTTCAGATTCCCCATTTTCACTGCTTGAGTAAGGTCGTTCATTGTGCCAGGAAATAAGCGAATTTATGTCAAGTCGCTGGTGGTTGTGAGGGCATTTTGATTGGTTGAATTGTTTGAGCTGCGATACATTAGTTGAATTTCATTATTTGTGTACATCTTGTCGTCTTATTGTTAACTATCCAGGCTGGTGAGGTGTACGCGTGCGGAGACACGTCGTGTGGCAAATTGGGTCTGGGTGAGAGCGCTCTGGGGCCCACACAGAGCGAGTCCTCGCCGCTGGCCACTCCGCGTCGTCTGGTGGGCTGCCTGGGAGGCCACCGTGTGGTCAAGATCGCCGCCCACTCCGGCAGCCGCCACGCCCTGGCGCTCACGGCGGAGGGGCGCGTGTTCGCGTGGGGCGAGGGCACCGCGGGCCAGCTGGGCGTGGGCACTCAGGACAACCACTCGAGCCCTCAACCAGTGACCGGCATCGATGCCTTTGTCGTCGATGTCGCCGTGGGCAGCTGCTATTCGGCCGCCGTGACTGCTGGAGGAGAGCTGTTTACCTGGGGACAGGGGAAGTCGGGTCGTCTTGGCCATGGCGATACGGAAGATCGACTGGTTCCGACTATGGTGGGTCTACCACTCACTAAAGTGCAACCGAAGTCCGTACCTATTTATGCATATACAAGCGTAGTTTCCAGCATTGCTTGATTAAGATAAATCTACCTTATAATTCCCATAATAAATCGATGTTTTAAATGAGGTCTCTTGGATTGGTATTCGCCTGCACACTACTGCCCCACGCGTCCTCCTCCGTTAAGCACTTATTATTGTCCACTGTTTGCTTAACTCACCCAGCTTTTGTGCTTAACGGCGTAGGTTCGAGCACTGGAGCCACACCAAGTTTTGCAGGTGGCCTGTGGCAGCCGGGACGCCCAGACGCTGGCGCTGACGGCGGACGGGAATGTGTGGGCCTGGGGCGATGGCGAATTCGGCAAGTTGGGCCTCGGGCACACAGACACTTGCCTCACTCCCACCCCCATACGCGCCTTCGTTCATCATCCGCCCATTGTCTTTATCGCATGCGGAGCCCAATTCAGCGTGGCCCTCAGTTGTATCGGCACCGTCTTCACTTGGGGGAAGGTGAGTCTGGTTCCGGCGCGTAAAACACATCCCTGACCAATCACCTTCTTCTACTTGTCTTCGCTTCCCTCAGCGTCATAACCAACCCCCCAAACCGTGTCGCAAAAGGAACAAACAATCGCATTGCCATGGTTTGCGAGGTTTTAATGTCCACTAGTGCCACACCACCTTCCACTGGACAATCTAATCCAGGGTTGGCACTCTGAAGCCACACTTTTGACATTACTTCCAAGCTTGGTCTGGTGTGTTCTCTTCTGGGGGCACTCAAGTGCTGTAAAGGCATTCAATCTGGCGAATTGTCCATTGATGCAAGTGCAGTCTTGACACATTCCTCTAGGCAAAACTACGAAGCTTAGCCGACATGTGTCAAGCCAATTGAATGGAATTCTAAATTGTCGCTGTTTCTGTGTGTCGTGCATTCGATCGTTCCCCGTCGAATGAAACCTCGTGCAGTAAATGAGCACACTAAACTACCATTTCTCCCTAGTCCCTTGAGCCTGAATTAGTCGACGTGGACTTTCCCATCACCTCTGTTCTCTCTTCTTCCTTAGGCCGACTGCTACAGACTGGGCCACGGGGATTTCACTCACGTCTACATACCGGCCGTTGTGCGGGCGCTCTCTAGCCACAGGATTGTGCAAGTTGCCGTCGGTGCCCTTCACTGTCTCGCCGTTGATGCCAACAACAAGGTGAAAGTGCCGCTTTTCGCACACATTGACATTCTGTTGTGATTCTTCTCCTGAACATTTTTTCCACGCTCTTCCCATCTCTTATAACGAGGCCAGAAGTTCCAGGTAGAAACAATGACCCCAAGGTCATTTAAGGACTTTCCTAATGTCGGCCCTTATTTTGTTAATCATGGCTGCTCATTTATTGTGTACCTCTACGGGTAGTCCACGTTCGCATTGCACTCTATTGTGATGATTATGAAAAATTTGATCCAACTATGTGTGGGCGTGTGACCGGACAGTTTCTCTGTGTCCTTGACCTATCAACCTGTACGTTCAGGTATACTCATGGGGTGACAATGATCACGGCCAGTTGGGCAACGGTCTTGCTCTGATAAACAAAACACCTTCCTTGGTGGCGGATCTTCCGCATCTTGCCTCCGACAGTGTCCACCACGCGTCGTATCGTGTGGCTTGCGGTTCGTCGCACAGTGTCGCCTACCTCTCCTCGAACGTCGCGTTGTCGCACACAGCAGTCCGCATCGACGCCACTCGTGCCCTCTCCTCAGAAGGACTCTCTCCACCGCCCCAGTGGACCTTCAGCGGCTTTGTCGATGCCCCACGAGGCATGCTCGGCCACGTCTACACTGCGCGGGTTCTGTCCCAGGCGCTGAACAGTGAGCGTCGTGAAGACATCGCGGTTCTGTTGGCCGCGTTGGATAAGGGAATTAGGTGGCGTCCGCTGCCCTTTCAGTCGCCTGTTCGTGACCCCCTTGGCTTCTCGTACCTTGGTAAGCCGTCGTTTGATTGTGATATATTATCGAATTCGCGACAACTTCAGCTGTGTGCTTGGTTTCCTTACTTTGACAATTGCCCCTACCTTGGTTTGCTGTCTACCTTCACATTTGTAAGATGACGGGAGGCGCTATTGTTAATGCGAGGGAGTATTGTGATTCGACTTTCAAGTATTCTCTCATTAGGACATGTTTCCTAAAATGCCCATAACTCTGACTATTTACCGAAAATACAACGCTTTTGCTGATTTTAGACATTTACACGAGCTTTAGTCTATGGTGTTATGATAAAGCGCGAATTCTTTGATTTGTTTTGTCTGCGTAGTCCTTTCAATACCGTCCCAGTTTATAATCTCCGTAGGTGTAATGCTTTTGTTTCAATAGAATGTATTACTGTGACTGAATCCAAAGCACTCAAGTAACGGGACATTCATCATTTACCCATGACTTTAATCTTTTATTATTTGTTGCCTTGATGTTCGTTTGAGATGTGCGGCATAATGGTGGTCCGTAAATACTGTACTTTGGCATAATTGAATATCTATAGACTTCTTCTTCGTCCCCATGCCTAGACCTTATTGATGTCAGTGAGGAGAATGAGTTGAATTGCGCCACCGGTGCAGGTCAGGGCAACAGCTCCACTTCTGTGAGCTCAACCGCCACCCACCAGCTGTACCACCGGGCTCCACTCGCCTCCCCAGGCCCCTCGCACTCCTCCGCCTCGTCGAGCTACTCCGACGACAGCCCCGGCAACACCGGACCGCGCGGGGTGCGAGAGCGCGAACTCCGGGCGCCGTGCGACCAGCCACACCGCGCCGGTGGGCACACCTTCACCCCGCCCAGAGACCCCGTGCTGTTGGGCGGCGTGCCTATCCGCGTGGGCGCGGGCCTGGGCGTTGCGCTCAGCCCTCTGGAGCAGTCAGTGGGTCGCTTGGTCGCGGGCACTAAGGCTACTACAACCAACGCGTCGGATATCACCAGATTAGTCTTTAAGGCAGCTAAGGTCTCCGTCGCAAGGTGATTTTGACCCTCCTCGTCCTCTTCGGTCATTTGTGCTTCCACCAAGTAGTTAGTACGGCGGCGTGACAGTCATCTCTCAGCTGCGATTTCTTAGGAGTTTAATTTCTTCAAATTGAACTTCCTCTTCCCAAATTGCTTTTAAATGATGAATTTCTCTTTCTGCAATGGTCTACAATAAGTCTCACAACCAGGCGTGTCTGGGTACCAGCGTGCTTCAAGCTTTATGGATGTCGCTGCAGTGTAAATGATCCATGGAATGTCACTGTATTTCCTGTGGTAAATTACTGCTAAGCGTCCAGCCCATTGCCTCCATTTTAGCCCACTACAGGACCTTTTGATTATGTCCAGCTATCAGGTTTTATGACCATCACACTTCTACCATCTGTCGGTTCTCTAAATGCGCGTACTGACTCTGGTTGGGACTATTGTGAAGAGCATTGCAATTGGTCCTCCATGTCGGAAATTGCACTGTTCAATTTCCCCTGACTTGCTTTTCACTTAGAAGGGGACTTCAAGGTGATCTTGGAACGGAGCTTGTGGTGCATGACGCAGAGTTCTAGGTGCACAGTTGTGCTGGACTGAAGCCAAGTCGGTCGAGACAGCTGTTGGCGTGCCAACTCCGTCGCTTCATTTCCAACGATAGTGTCACGGATATTGGTCTAATGTTGACCCTCGTGACTCTGCCTGCATCATCGTAACTTAGGCCAAGTACTGCAAGAGCGCGCGTTCAATTTGAAACAAAACCGACTCTATTTGTTTCTTCCCTTTTCTGGCTAACTGGCATTGGAATCAGCAGATTTGTTAAATCCAATTTTTAAGTCATAATACCAGCTTCGATCACTTGATAAACGTATTTTGTTGGTCGTAGCGATGTCCGGGACCAGCGAATGTAATTTGCCTCGATGCTTTCCATTCCAACAACGGAAGCACTTCGCTTTACCTAATTTTCCATTGTTGTCTTCGTTCAGTCGCATTCTCTATTCCGGCATTTTAGGAACCTCATGAATGCTCTGGTGTTTTGGCTTTGCATGCAGTCCGCGCGGAATGAACCCACTGCCGCAGCACCCAACACAAGCAAAACTACTAGCCCACCCGAGGTAGAACAATCCCAGGGACTGCAGGTACAGCCTAGCTGGATGTGTGTGTGTGTGTTCAATAATTTCTCACTACTTTCTAGCATTTCTTATGTTCTTTTTTGGCCTGTTTTTTGAGCGTTGTGGTACGACGTGGAGAAGCAGGCGTGCTTCTGCCACACTGAAACCACATCAGTCTTCACTTTGTTCCAGTGTCCGCAATTTCTGCACATAGCCAACTCGAGCAGTTTGCTATTTGATTTAGGTCCATCATAAAATGTTATTTCGATGTAGACTTAACCGCGTTATGCGACAGCGGCCATCTTTCGATCTGTTTCTTACGTATAATTCAATTGGCTTTACATTATGTACGTAGAATGTAAGCAATTATGTGTTTAGCTTAGAACGTTTGTCTCGAAGACTTGACTTGATATTTGCACGACAACACCGTCTACAAAGTCACCATGCGACACGACGTCTTCCTTACATAGTATCATTCTAAATCAAAATCAGCCAAGCTCCGCATCCATCTTCTTATCACGAGCTCCTTTATATTCCAGTTCGCGGATTGGTTGGACAGTCGCTTCTTGGTGCAGTGGCTCGACCTGGTGCGCTTGCACTTGCCTCTCCACAGTCCGCTGCCCTGGCGCCACAGGCCGGGGGAACCTGTCGGCTCTGCAGCGGCCCTTCTTCGTCTCCATGTTCATTGGATCATGCGCTCAATGCAAGTTCTGCCTGGGCTTCAGTCCACTCTCCGCGCCTACTGCCTTCTTGACGTAGACGCCTTTGCAAACCTCCTCACCACGCTGCCAAGTGACGGTCCCTCTTCAAGACACTTAACTTCCTCCCCGCGGGAATTCGCCCTCCTGGCCTCTAAAGGGACAGGTCTAGTTCTCGAGAGCACAGTTGGCACGAGACCGCATCACTTCTCCGTTAACCCAGATGTCTTCACACTCATGGTTCCAAATACACAAATCGCTGAGGTCAGTTGTCTGCAGACGCTTTTCGATTTGGTACTGGACGGTGCCGTATCATGTCGAAAATTTCATAGTTCCAATCTGCACATTTTGGTAGCTGTTATTTCGCGACTGTATGTTACCTTCCCAACTTGGCGTGACATTAGTTGTGCAGAAATCCCATCCCCGCCTGATCCTGCTTTTTGAGTTTCTCAATCAATCAAGTGCTTACTTGTTTAGGAGCAGTGAATTTCATGTTCTCTGTTTGATATGTAATTATACTCCATTTAACTTCAATGTCCATGGTGGCTTGTGCCTGAGCTAGTGAACGCCTGAGCCAAAACTGTCCAATTGTGCTGGTGTGAATAAGTGTGCGGAGCTGTGAGCATTTCATCTATCGCATTTCAGATGTTCCTACTGTGTGACACTTCCATGGGCAGTCCACGTGGAGCCCTCCAGTGGCTAATGAGTTTGGCTCGTCTCGCCTACTCTCTCGGTCCCGGCGAGTTGCCAGACGGAGACAGACAGTCCTCGCGCAGGCGTGACACCGTCCTGCCCTTCTTGATGCGAGTCCGAGTCTGGGCGTCTGGAGCGCTGCTCTACGCCCTCCGCTCCTCCCCACCTCGTGTCACCTCCAACCTGCGCGATATTCTCCTGCTACTCGGAGGTGGTCGTGTTGATGCCGATTCACAGTCTTCAGTGCCACCAAAATTGCAAGTCTCCATTGAAATGCCTTTTCTAACCATCGAGCCGGTTTTACTTATTCTGGTAGCTTTATGATGTGCCTTTTATGTTGTGCTACCTTTAGTGCTGCATTTATAAGCACCTTGACATGGACATTTTGACCGGTTTATTATTTGTCAGGGGTGCGTTACTTTAATGTAACTCTATGCATAAGCGCGCGCAAGGCACGCGATCATTTATTTCGGCGTGTTTCTTGACACAATTGCTGCAGCAATCCGCGTCATGCTCGTTTTACTAACTTCTACCGAAGTCCACCCCCTAGGCCATTCTACGCACGGAAAAGTTCCTTTAGGTAGTCTGGTAATTTAACTCCCGTTACTGTTTTTTGTTGTTGTTTCAAGGCCTGATGACACTGTCTCCCGCGAAGAGGTGGCATTCAGATTGGGCTGGTTTCTAGACTGTCTGCCAGCATTCATCTCCGACCAGTATGAATACGAGCGCTTCCTCGTTGAGGACGGCCACCAACTGAATTACAGCGTCTACTTGGCGGTAAGTGGCTGAAAGTTGTCGATCGGCTACCAACTGCGCCCGACAACGAAAGTCCTTCCCTTCAAAAACCGCTGCTGTCCCAATTGCAGTTGCACGAGCCCACGTTGTACTGATTAACACTTTCAGCTGGGCTCAGTGGTATCTTGATTTAATTGCATTTCTAGACAGTGCCCTGCTACTAAGTACCTAGGTGTCTGCCCTAAATAAGCAGAATACAACACCTATATAGCGTGTGAGCCGAAGTATGTTCATGTTCTTTGCGACTTGGGAACGGTGCTTGGTTTCGGTTTATAGAAAACTAGTGCAACTAAAATCATGCTCTGACCCGTTTTTCAAGTAATCACATTCTTCCACACGTGTTGGTGTTTTGTCCGTGAGACTTCAGTGTCTGGAGGGGTTTTCCACATTCGTTGTCAAGCTTTTACATGTCATCACCAGTCAAAAAGGCGTAATTTCACATGTTTGCTATAGGGCCTACCTTTAAGTGGTAGTCATTTGTTTGACAGATCTTATCAAGTTTTGCATAACCTCACAAACTGGTCAGACGTAATTTTGTCTACTTTTTTTTCTAGCGCACAATTCTTATAGCGCTTGAACTCGGACTTGATCGCACACCCCACCTCGAGTCATGGTTTTCCACCGGCACATCGCTTGCCTCGAAGTCCGCCGGCTACACCATGAAGTCTCTGAAGGTCGCTGCGACCGCTCCGGCTCGGGAAGCCCTATGCGGCTGGGATTGGCTCTCCCGTCTGATCCAGTGTCTCCGGCTTTTGGATAACTTTGTTCAAAGACGACCTCTTTGTGAGAAGACACTGGAAACCCTGGAAGCGCATTTCCCAGAAGGCGTCTTTCCCGGAGCACAAGAGGCGAAACAGGGAGAAAATGGACCCAAGGAACGAACTTATGCCGACCCACAACTCTTTGGACTCACCGAGGACACACAACTAGTCAGTTGGGTTCGAATGCATCCCGATGATTGGCAGGTGAGTCGTGCTCATTCGAATCTCTTCTATCGGCTCTTACAGCCCCTACAATTGTCTTGCATGAAAGTGCTATCCGAGACTATGGCCTGTTTTGTAGACTTTTTTTTCGTGAGTAGTCGACGTTGTAATTGCTATGCTTATGTTAATATCACATCATGCTACACTGTGTGGACTGCATATGCGCACAACAAATCGACCAAGTGCGACCGGACTGCGACTAATCGACATTGATGGTTTAGGGTGTACACCCTCACCATCTGTCATTGCTGTTAACGAGATCACACCAACCATTTGCTAAGGTTATAGCCCCCTCGTGCACCTCCCATGAAAGGTTAGTGTTAAATCACCAAAAACGTAGATAACGTAATTGCCTCGTTAGCGGAATCAGCATCCATCTTGGCTGTCTATTCGGCAAATGTTTTCGCTGTGGCTCGCTATTTCATTATCAGGCAAGTGAGTTTTCCTCAACTAACTTCGATATTGCCCATTCAAAATCCATCATTACGCCACTGTCGCGAACCTCAATTGCAAAATCTCAAGAAGGTTTTCAACTAGCTATTGGATCAGTGCCACTTTTCATTCATTCCTTTCGATGTCAACACCTCGCCTCAGTGGTGGCAAGTTAATTCGCCAAGCACGAGTTATAGCTTATGCCTGTCACACACAGCAGTTTCGCTTATTCAGCACTTGCCTTTTGCTGCCTGCCTCAGGATTGTTGGCCGTCCTACCGCGACCGGGTTTTGGCCTTCGGCTTGAACGACAGCGGACAGCTGGGTGGTCTGAGGGGCCACGTGGTGCGCACACCCTGTTTCGTGGTTCGTCTCAGTGAGATCCGGCCGGTTTCTATTGTTGCCGGCCTACTGACTCTCTTCGTCGTCAATGAAGACGGCAAAGTGTTCGCTTCAGGTAATTAGGTATTTTCTGTTGGCGTCATTAGCCATTCCTTGTCTTGGAAGCGTTTGTAAGTTCGTTTCTGGGGGAATGGCTCTGCTTGCATACCAACATTAAAGGTCAAGTTTTTGTACTGATATCTGAATGGTTTTGCGTGCGACAGTGCGCACATGCTATTGTCATTATAATTGTCTTTCATCTGCGGACATTGATTTGCATTCAGAAATCTTTGGTGTTTAAGTCCATCAAACGACCTAGCTGGACTTCATCGCGACCTGGCCGACGGTTGTCAGTAAACCTTCGTAATATTAAATCCACTATTCTTCGGTTCATGCAGGCTACGCTTACAACGATCGACTCGGCGTTCCAATGAACGGTTGCGCCTACCACCTGGTGCCCGTGAAGAAACTCGACAAGACGCGCATCGTCAAGGTCTCCGTGCACCCCTGTGGTCAGCATTGTCTGGCTCTGGACGCCGACGGCGTCGTCTACAGCTGGGGCACTCAGACACACGGTCGTCTTGGCAACAGCGGGTTCTATCACAGCAGGGTGGGCCCTCGAATCGTTGCCCTGAAACCTTCCACAGATTCCATCCCACGAAAGTCGTTCCGCGTTGTTGACATCTGTGCTGGTTATGCAAGCTCCGCCGCCATCACAGCTTCGGTAAAAGTTAACTCTAATTTTGAACCGGTAGTCAAAAAATTTTCCTACGTTTTTCGAAGCGGATCCATTTTCACTCGCAGCCTAATCTCGGCAAACCCCTATCAGTTAATTGCGCGTAGTTGTGCCCGAATAAGCTATTGTCAATTATCGTTCATTGTTCAGGCAGTGAGAAATGAGCGCGTCCAAGCAGTAGGTTTTGTCGAATTTAGAATGTTGCAGGCATGATGTACACAGAGTGATTCTTTTTCATCTGAAGAACAGGAGATCGGTCTTTGCAGTGAACGCCAATGTTGTGTTTGTTTAACAACGGCGATCTGTGATTAACGTTTGCACTTTCCTTAAGGGTGAGGTGTATACCTGGGGTCACGGATTGTACGGTGCGTTGGGCCATGGCGAATTCAAGAACCAACGCCAGCCGCGTCTGGTGGAAGCCCTCAAGGGCCACCGGGTCACACAGATCGCGTGTGCAGGCGCGGAGACCCCCACATTGGCCGTGACGCCCGATGAAGACGCTGTCTGGCAGTGGGGCAACGTGGGCTTCGTGAAGACACGGCAGCAGGAGCAGCAGGCACTTCACGCCATGACATCCACTCCCGCTCGAATACCGGCTCTCCAGGTCAGTTTCTGCCAATTCGAAGTACGATGGACAGGGAGTGCGGTGGAAAGACGACATGACGAGACAGACACAACCGATAATACATCTGCTAGGCATGATGTGTGCCTGTAGTGCGTCTGTAGCTGCGTTTTTCCAGGGGCTGATTGCATTACTGTTGAGGGCGGGAGATGTGCACTTGGGTGGAATCAACCTCAAAGTGGACGACACCTCATCCTCCTTAAAAGTACAGTTGAGTGTGTGTGTGTGTTGAGTTGTGTTCCGTGAGAATCACGGTCGCTGGTGCGGTAACTGTTGCAGCGCATATCGGCTCGACACTTCTATGCTCATTCGCTTGTCCAATCGTATCACATCCTCCACTATGCCTAATTGAATTCAATTCGAACAGTAAATGAGATGTAGGCGTCTTGTGTGAAAAGCTTCATCTACTTGTGTGGCATTGGTGGCAATCCCAAATGTAGCCTTCCGCCACCAAACAACAGACATGATGGAGTCTAAACACAGTGGAGTTTGCACCACTCTAAGTTGTTTTTTTGCACTAAAATTCTACTGAAACCGTAGCTTGGCTTGTTTTAAATTTGGCACGGTGCTTCTTCGCTGTGCTTTGCATCATCCGGTAGTGATGTCGCTACTGCACCAGGCCCACGTCCAGTTAAAAAACCACCACCGAGCGAGCGAATTCGTGAATTCAATGCTAAGCCTGTGTGACGCGTCCTCTCCTTTTCAAGAATACCAAAATATTTTTCACCACAGTGTCTGTGACCCAATTTTATTGATAATAGTATTCCACAGATGAAAGAATTTGATAATCGCAGCGTAAATTTTACCTTCCTCTTCCCAGAGCAAAGCAATTTCGCTTTGGTTGGGCAATCGCCTCATGACTTCGTGTTAGAGATTTCAAGTACATAGTATTCATCTTGCGATATCAATCCGTCTTACTGGGGTAACTGCGTGTGCATTTGTCTTCAGACCAAAATGGCTCTAAACAAAACAATGTGGCAATTGCTCTGTCCAGGTGCCATTCAAGCAACCAGCTCACTTCGTGGGCTATTTGGAAGCCCAGATCAAGGCGTGAACAGCCCTGTTATGTTCTTGGTTTTTTTGTGTGGCCGTCAGAGGTGTTGCATCCCGGCTAGGACTGGTCGGGGCGATGTTGTTGAGACCCCACCGATGCAAAAAGTCGCCATCTTGGTTCAAACGCGCTCACGTTGTTGTCACTCGCATGACTTCCCGGCACCATGTGTTGTGACCGCCGGAGTCAGTCACACGTAACCCTGCTGCACCAGTGGCTCATTAACATGCACAATTTACCGTTTCGAGCAACTTGATCGCATGATTGTATCAAATCTAGTGTATAGTGTGGCTTGCTACAGTTGGATATCAAGTCATGTTTAACCGTTTGAAATGCATTTCCATCCTTACCTTTGGTTTCTTACCAATCTCCCAGTTCTTGGGCCCATAACTTTGACAAATTTTCAATTCGACATACCATTTTTGTTGATAAAGTTTTGTTTGACACACCGTTTCTACGATCAGAGAAATGACCAAATTCATTGATCGCTCAAATTTTTTGCCAAAATCACTTACACTGTTACTGTCTTTAGATGTTTGTCAAATGTGTGAATTAGTAGTGCTAGGGTAACGCGCCTACTGAGCGGGGACCTGAATAGGGAGATGACTGTTAGTCCGTCCCTCGTAGATAGCCACACCGTCATGGTTAGCTACCAGGCACACGAGAGAATAATAGCTGGAAGAACCGGATGTATTCCATACTACCGCATAAAAACTCAGAGGGCTAGAGCCTAGGGAGGGTTAGAGTGGGAAAGGGATGGCCGCGAGGAGGGTTGGAGTTGCCCTCGGACCCACGGGCGTGTCTTGAGGAAGGCGAGAGTGCGGGAAGGGAGAGGAGGACAAAGAACAGGCCAGACCGGCGTGCGTGGGTTGAATGGCGCGCGTCACACTGGCCACTGCGTATTGGCTGTAGGTCTGCCCAAAGTGTGATTGAATAGTCCACCTTCTTTCATTGTTTATGCTTTGTGTTTGTCTACCTAACAGAACCAAGGCATTATACACGTGGCCAATGGAGGAAAATTTTGCGTCGCTCTGTCGAAGTATGGCACGGTGTACACTTGGGGGGAGAACGGTGAGGCCTTGGGGCATTGTGCGTGCACTCCTGTATACTCTCCACGGCCCGTTGGGTCGCTAGCCAATAGCCACATCATCGCGATATCCTGTGGCCTCTCGCACTGTCTTGCTTTGGACAACGAAGGTTAGCTCTCTGAGGAAAGTTTTAAACTTAGTCCTAAGTTAATGCGTTTTGCTTACCTCTAATGACGTGTTTTGTGTCACAGGCAAAGTGTTCTCATGGGGTTCCAACACGTTCGGCCAACTGGGAGACGGTTCAACCACTGATCGAGCGGTTCCCCAGCGGGTCGCTACACTCAGTCGTTATCGCGCCATCCACGTGGCCTGCGGTTCCTCGCACTCCTTTGTTTTCGTCAAGGGTGCATACGCCACGGGACTTGTCCCTCCACTGCCCAGCCACCCGCCTCGTCAGCAGTTCCATGCCATCGGTCAGAAGCTAGCTACCCGTGCAGGACTTGAACCCGCTTCGCACGCTCACTTGCAGCTTCTGCGAAACCGATTCCTTCTGCTCTGTCACTTTGCTCAGCAGGTGTTTGGTGCGGAGCTACTAGACGAGGACCACGCAGACAAGGAGCCCACTGAATTGCTCTCTCTTCGTCTTAAATCGTCCCTGTGCTTCGGCTTTTGGTCACTCGTTACGGGGTTTGTGGATGACGGCCTGTCGACTGGGCGCCTTGCAGCTCTCTTGGCCTCGGATCGGACTCAACAGGTTCTAGTGGCACGAGATGTCCGATTGGACACCCTGGCGAGACTCCTTCTGCTGGCGCGTAAGGAGTCGCTGTTTAGGCGGTACCTGCAAGCCACGACCAACCCCGTTCTCCCCCACGGCCCTGAAATTCAAATTACGCGTCTGAGTTTGGCGAGGTCTCAGAGGGATGATGCGGAGTCCGTGCAAACCAAAATCTCTGATCCGCGGCTCACCGTGTTCGCCCAGGTGACGAGTTCTGGGGTTGCTGTCTTGTCATGCATGCTCTCATTTGCTTAACTGGCAGCACGTGTACATTTAGTACGCCCGTCTTTTGATCGGCGTGGGAATTTTCCCTTGTGGCTTATTCTGAAGGATCTAGGCCGAGATAATTGGTCATGTAGGGGTCTCCACTTGTAAAGGCTTAGTTCATTCGACGCCTTGGAGCCTCAGACGTACTCAGGAATGACTTGGCCAATGAATGTTGTTGGCCAATAGAGGTCGGATGCACACGTCATAAGGGTTTTTCCGAAGATATTTGAAGTTTCGCCCTGAGTGATGGAGATGCTTAGGAGGAGGGAGGGGAGTGGTGTGTGTGGGTGGTCGGTGATAGAGTTCATGGTCCCGGGTTAGTACGAGTCACTGAACTCACCAGAACCCCATACCACGGGTTTATGTGACCCGAGGTTTTGCTTTGCGCCTGCAAGACTAGTTCATAGGCTGAATTGCACATATCAGCAAGGGAGCATGTGGTGTCCACAATTTTGGGAGTCTGTCATACTCGAGTATTGTTTTGTGCTTGAGGCATGTCCCAGAGGGGCCGTGCTTCAATGAGTTTGTCCCTGCATTTCCCGGGTTTAATGAATGCGCAGTGGTTAGTTTTCAGACCCACTCTCAGTAACCCGTAGGTGGTGGTTGAGCCTAGTAAGGCGGCTAGTCATTTGACGGCCGTTTTCTATCATTTGTGAGTTTGTAATTTCGTAAATGTGGTCACACGCTCTTCTGGGAGTGTTTCATCATAATTCTCCGTCCCGAACTTAACCAACTTCTCTCTTATATCGACACAGGTTGTCACAATAATTATATTATTCTGTTTTAGCGCGTTAATGGCACATCTTCTAGGCTTTAACTTACACCAGGATTGTGCTTTGGACTGCCACTCATGTATTTTTTTCCATTGAACCTGATGTACTATATCGCTTTATTAGCCATAAACATCAACTAAACCAGTTGATATCCCATACAGACAGGACCGCAAAAAAAGGAGATATAAAATTCACACGATGTGCATCTTAGGAGTCTTAGCTAAGTCGTTTAAATAAGTCTGGCATCTATTCAGGTATCCCGACACATGCTTCAGGCCGATGAATTCGGCATTGGCAGCTTCAGTTCCCTGCCCGCTGATCGGACCGCGGAGAAGGAATGCCGGTGGCGCCAAGAGTGCCTGAGCAACATGCTCGAAGGCGACGGTGACAGCGACGTCTTGGTTCCTCGTGCCCCCGCCATGTCAGTTCCCCCTCAGCCTTTCTTTTGGCTGCCCCGGCGCGTCTGGAAAGTGAATTTCATTGGAGAATCTGTGGACGACTTTGGTGGCGGCTTTTCGGATAGCATTACTGAGCTGTGCGAGGAACTCCACGCTCCCTGGAGCGGGCTCCCTGTACTAACCCCATGCACTCCCCGCCCCTCTCCGTCAGGTTCGCTTTCTCAGAGTTGGCTTTAACTCTTCACCTACTTGTTCCCAGTTTAAAAGGGGTGTTAGGCGCTTTCTATAAAAGTTGCCATTCACTGCGGCTTTCAAACCAAGTTTTAAGTCTGAAACAGTTTTAGCGTAGCCCGCCTTCTCTTTGTTAAGTAACCTCTAACAGTTTAGCTTCTTGAGGATAAAATGCTAATGTCGCAACCCTAGTTGTACCAATCACACGCGTGTTCATATGAGAAGTGCTGTAGCGAACTAACTCTATTGTCTGAAATAGTATTTTGCAAGACTAGGGTCGACTTTCCTCGTTGTTTAGCCTCAAATAGCGAATCGGCCGAGATGGGTGGCTTCATCGTGAACCCTGATTGTGCTCTGTTGGCTCCCAATTGGTTGGTGTTCTTCGGCTGTCTTGTCGGCTTCGGTGTGAGAACGGGGCACTCGCTGAACCTACGTCTGGTGCAACCCATGTGGCGCCTTCTGGCTGGCCATGGTAGCGGTGCGGGCCTCCGTCTAGCCGACTTGATTGATTTGGAGGCAGAAGTCGGGGTCGAAGGTGGGCCTGTGGAGGCTGGAACCAGCACCTCAGCTGGCGGTGCATTTGGTTTGTTCACGTAAGCACTTTTCCTCGTCCACTTTGTGCCAGTGCGTGTCTCCCTTCGCGTCGCTACTCACTGAACCCGACTAGAGGATTCTTGCTGTGGAGTCGATCGCCTCCAAAATTGGCTTTAATCGTAACACTTAGCAGAGCACTACAGAAGTCGGTCTGATGTCTTGGAGTTGTCGCCTGCGTTGCAAGTCTAAACGTGTAAAATACGAAATCTGATCCATGTCGGAATAGAGCATCTAACGCACCTTCTGGTAGATAAATTGCTGACCAAATCTTATTGCTGCCCTAACACCAACAATCTTTTCCACCCTCTCTCCTTTGTATATCCTCATTCATTTGCACGATTGTATCTTGTCTCAACTGGTGAATCTGTTTCATGTTGATCTTAAGTAATGCTGCGGAGCGTAGTGTCCAAGGATGACATGTGACAGGAGGCGAAACGCGTAGCCTCTTATTCTATGTCTCGACTGAGTTGTATTTTTGCACCTGTGTATGTGTTCGAAGTTTTGCGTGACTAATGATATTGCTGGCCAATACTATTTGGGTAATCTAGTTCAAGTACAAATGGCGGAATGGCCAAATGAATTTGTTGTGGGCCCCAGCATGTGGTCTTGAACCACGCCGGGGCCACGGAATTTACCCTGGCCCGATTACGCTTCCCTGATACCCGCGATGAAGGAAAAGATCGGAGATGACGTGGACGCAACCGTTTACTTCAGAGCTCAGCCACGTTGGTGTCGTGTGTGGTGTTTGGGCGTGCGTATTTATACTTCAGATGCGTGAGTCATGCATGCGCTAACATCGAGAACTCGGTGTGGGGGAACTCCAAGATAAATTTTCATGCGAATGATGGGGGTGTTGAGGATCTGCGCGGCTGGCGACATGCTACGAAAAGGGGAACCTTGTGTCGGAGGGTGGAGTGGCCGGATTAAGGGGGTGTGAATAAACACGATTCACAACGAGTTAAACACTTGGCGGGGGTGGGAGTAGATGCCCATGGTTGTATAAAGAGGCGCTTACGGATGACCGACGTACACGCAGTGAACAGGGGAGCAGTATTTCGGGGAATTTGGCGACAGAGTTGGTGGACGTGTTACAACACGCATTTTCATGACGGGCCAGGATTCTCGAGATTTGTTGACTTATAACCCCGTCGTGTTTATTCAGAATTGCCAAGATGACAGCCGAGGAACTGAATCAGTCGGAATTGCCGTTCACCTGCCTCTCGGCCAATCGTAGACACACAGTCAATTTGGTTGGCTACGCTCGTGAGCTGGCCTCTTCACTTCACGCCACAGTGGACGCGGACAGCCTGGCCGCAGTCCTCGCGGTCGCAGGACTTGACGGCGCGCTTCCCTGGTCCGAGATCCGGGCGTCGGCTCGCCGTGCTCTGGACTCGGCCTCAGCTGGGAACCTCACCGTAAATTCGGAGACTAAACTGGCCTACATCTTCGCCCTGCTCACGTACCGCCGTAGCGAATTCGAACCTGCCATTAGCCTGGTACGTTTCTCACTCTTAGTCCCCTTAGCCTCAAACAGCACTCATTGTTACGCTTGTAACGAGCGACCTGTGAGGCAGTCACTCAATATGTTTGCATTCTAGCCTTCGGAGGTTGTAATAAATTGGTTTTCCTATTTATGGATTATCGATCAGAATCGGATCATCAACAGTTGCGCTTTGATGCTTACTCTTACCATGTCGAATATGTATTTAATCGCAGCATACCCTGAAAAAATCGAATTCCGCTTTTGAGTACCCTACTGATGGCCAAAGTACCTGTGCACCTGCAAAAGCATAAAAATTTTCAGGAAATCCTTTGTTCTTTTTTATGCACATAGATCCGTCGCGGTATCGCTCAGGTGCTACCAGCGTGCATAGTGACCCTCTTCACGGGAGAGGAGTTGGAAGAAATGGTTTGCGGGGCTGCGGAGATTTCCATCGACGCGCTTAGAAATGTCGTGACTTATGAAAACCTTGCACCTGATGATGACTTGGTCAAGTGGTTCTGGCGAATTCTAGAAGAGATGACGCCTGTGGAGCGATCTCTCTTGCTTCGCTTCGTGTGGGGTCGGTCCCGTCTCCCGAGATTCGCATCTGACCTTCGTGAACGACAGTTTCTCATCCAAGTAGAGTTGGCATATCAACTTGTTTTGTTTTCTGATCGATTTAAGAATCCCTCATTTAATTGAATATGCTCACTGTTACGTTCAAAATGTCAAAAAACGATTGACACTGATAGATGAAGTCCTTGAACTCTCAGTTATAGTTCTGGTAAAATGTCATTGAATTTAAGGTTGTTTGTGTCAATTCTTTTGTAACAATTTGTTTTTTTGGGCTTACATATGTAGGTTTTGTGTAAAGTAGTTTCTCTCGGATACGTAAATTGTCATCGTCTTTGAAGATGCCTATGGTGTGATTTTGACCACCACTGAGTTTGTAATAGTAATCAATGAATGTAAACACATTTGCCAAAAAATGACAACTTCTGAAGTCAGGGCTAACATGTTTCATTTTTATTTGCATTTTGTAGGTTCAAAGTGACTGTCGCCCTGCTGATATATATCTTCCAGAGGGTTCAACCTGCATGTTTACTCTACGTCTTCCACGTTATTCTTCCCTGGAAGTTTTTCGAGAACGCCTCACATACGCAATCTATGGTTGCCGATCCATCGATAGCGATGATTTTGTGGTAGTTCAGTAATTGTACCAGATGGGACAAACCGACCAGATCAACTTGTAATCTCGCTTCCCTATTTTTTTTAATTTCAAGTTTGTTCATGTTAGTGTATGCCGTTGCCTTACGTACAATACATATTTGTTTAGTCGACGCTTATTTGTATGCTAAGTTCAATAATTATGTTATTTGTACAAAATTAAAGTCTTCTCCCGCCTGTCAGCTCTTTCCCTCAAATTATGGTTAGTGTCAAAATTACCATCCAGCACTCAATGAAGCGAAACGTTTGTGCACCAGTTGGTATTCCAGTAACAGATCCATCGTGCCGTTCCGATGACGTTATGATATTCTAGGTTTGTTGGAAATCTGCTGAACTGGCCTATTGTCAAACTTGGATACTTTACGATAATTTGCCTAGTCGGAATAAAATGCAATAATAAAGGTGGCGTGAAATCATGCCAAGTGGGCGAATTCTAATAACCGAGTTATTACAAGCATTAAAATGGGCTTCAATCAATTGAGATTAAACAAAATTACACAAATTCCTACTTTAGACATCTCGTCAAAAAGGAATATTGATTTCAGGGACATGTAATCAATTAGAAGGTAAAAGAAAATTAGCTGTACCCTTCAAGAACATTCATATTAGTCATGTGTCTGTGGAATTGAAAGCACCCAAGTTCTAGTCTCATGTGATCTTTATGAATTCTTTCTAATCAATCCCAACAGTCAGTCGAAAATTAGCACAGAAGGTTTGGTAATAACAGCAATGAGCTCTTAAGCATATTATTACAAATCTGAGGCTTTTAATAATTTAAAACAATGTCTGAAATTTAAAATAACCTAAATTTTGTTTCTACTATTTGTTTTAGTCATACTTTCGAATGGCACAATTTTCACACTGACCACTCGCCAGTAGGATTGGTAAATGAGCAGTAGTTTACTTACGTTATAGTTATTCCAGCCATGCCAGTTTCAAATGGGATGCCTGACCGATCTGGGGCAATGCCGGAGGCAAAACGGTTTTCTATGAGAATTTTAACTGGAAACAGTACGTTTTTCTACATGAATAATTCTTGTTTAGATGCAGAACAGGATGTCCTCCCCGACAATTTGGTCGAGAAGTCCCACGTAATGCTCCGTGAAGCAGCATTTGCAGTGTTTCATGATAAGCAAATTAGTTATACCCTGGAAGAGCTTTTTAGGGTACACGAATTTTTTGTCTGTATGTTTTTAGTGCGTTGAAGACATCTGCGCCCAGAAAATGGTGCCCACTTTGTATGAAACGCTTGAGTCTCTGTTTACTGTCTACGTTAACGAATTGCTGCCAAATTTCTTAAAATATCCTTTTTCACATTATGACAACCTAACGCAATGGCACTTAACTAATACGGTTCTGTCTTATTTTTGGAGTTAATTGTCAATATTTTACTCTGATGTCTTTTACATTATACCGGATTATTTACATTTAATGTATTTTCCTGAACATTGTATTTTACTGAGAAGTTGGACCTGAAATGTGTTTCGGACACCTGGGAAATGTACTGTCAGAAAATGGTTAGTCAAGCTCTTATATCGGTTACCTTTTTTGTCATTGGTACTAAAATGGTTGTTTTTTTGTAGCTGATGATACGCAGTATTTTTATTTTCATGGATCGAAAGTTACCAATTGTTAACCCAAAGTATCTCTCATTGTGGTATGTTTCTTGGTTATTCAAGCCCAATTTATTCCGACGGCATGGGATTTTTTAAATATTATTTGGCATCAATCAGCCGAATGTCTTTATTAGATTTCTTTCTACCTTCAGGGACTTGGCACTAAATCTATTCCGCGAAAATATTGTGATGCACGATGCCGTCCAAACCAGAGTCCTTAAACACGTCCTCGATCTGATTCGTCAAGAGCGCTGCGGAACTAACGTTGACAGAATTCTACTTAGATCTGTTATTCGAATGTATTCTGTCTTGCACGTAAGCCTGTCTGACGCTCTAGCATTTTTTATCTACTCTGCGAACAAGTTTTGAGATCGTTTAGTCTTTTTGTGTCAGCTTTATCAGGTGCACTTCCAGGGACCTTTCCTTCGTCAAAGCCAACAGTTCTACGCCGAAGAGGGCGAAACCTTGTCAAAACAAATGTCGGTTTGTGATTACCTCCATCATGTCGACAAACGCATCGTCGAAGAAGAGGATAGATTAAAGGCCTACCTTAATGTCAACGTTACTCGTTCGGCTCTCATGTCAACTCTTGATACTGAACTTATTTCGAAACGTCTGCCTTATCTTACCTCAGCTAGTCCAAATTTAATTGAGGACCAAAAGCTCCAGGAACTTCACCTTCTTTATAAACTTTTATCAAGAATACAAGGTGGTGTAGATGAACTGAGGGTGGAGTTCAAGCGTCATATTAAACAAGTTGGAGCTGAGATAGTTGAGAATCCACAAAAACTGCCTGAGAAGGACAAAATGATGATCCAACGCTTGCTTAGCTGGAGGGATGTCCTATTAGAAATAATTACGAAGGGGTTCCGTGCTGATGCGTCTTTTCAGCGGGCGTTGCAGGAGGCGTTTGAGGAGTTTATTAATCACCGACCGAACAAGCCGGCCGAGTTCCTTGCCAAGTACCTTGACGTTCAAATGAGGACTGGCAATAAAACGCAAACCGATGAGGAGTTAGATCGAGTCATGGATAAGGCAATGGTCCTCTTCCGTTTTATTGATGGCAAAGACGTGTTTGAGGCATTCTACACAAAAGAATTAGCAAAACGTTTACTTCTAGGAAAGAGTGCTAGTGTGGATGCAGAGAAGGCAATGCTGTCAAAACTGAAGCAAGGTTAGCCGATCTTGTTACATGCGCTCTACTAGTTTATTGTTAGTAACTCATACAACTATGCTTGCATTTTGTGTAGAATGTGGTGTAAACTACACCCGAAAGATGGAGACTATGTTTCAAGATATAGAACTTAGTCGCGAGTTAAGTAAGAATTTCCGCGCCTCCCAACATGTGCCCTATTCGATCGATTTCACTGTTAATGTCATATGTCCCTCCTCGTGGCCCCACTATCCCCAGCTTATTGCAAATTACCCACCTGAGGTGAGTTGTGTTTACTTATTTGCGCGTTGTAATTCCCTTGTCTTGACTAAGTTTGTTTGCTGTAGATGGTAGCTTTACGGGAGGACTTCACTAAGTTTTACCTCAGTCATCATCAGGGACGGAAACTCTCGTATGATTCTTCTTTGGGCACCTGCGTTGTTCGGGCCCTCTTCCCTTCGGTGAGTTCATTACGTTGTTACTTCACAGCCATAAAATCACAATCTCCGGGCAAAATGAGGCTGCTGGTGTGAAGCTTGCAGTGTGAAAGAACATGAGGGGCCCTGGGTTGGTAGAGTGCTCATCCCTTTCGCCAGGTGATTGGTAGTTGGCTATGAGTGAGCTCACTCAGTCCAAAAAAGTCAAATCCTGAATTGTTTTGATGCGGGTATGCTCTGCATTTCCCTCTACAGAAGACCAACAAGCTTTTGAACGTAACGTAGGCAACTCAACAATGACACTTCCATTAGTGTTCACAGCTGTGTCAGAATGCCTGATGTTTACCACCGATTGGCAAATAATTGAATTTGTCTGCCAGAGTTCGCTGACGGATGTTAACCCAGAGGTTAAAAGAACCCATGTAAGTAAACCTACAATTGGTGAGCAGTGGATAGCTCCGAAGACTCATATTTTGGACTTCCTGAGCTTCGCATGCTTGGCGACTTGACGAGAATATCTTGTTTTGTGTGGCAATGTATTGGCATATTACGAATGTTTCTGAATCAACTATGTAGCGTTTTTCACTCTATCTATCACTTGATGCAGCGTGGCCTCCGGTTAAATTATGCACTCTTCCTGGCGCAGCTTATTTCCCAACTTTAAACACAAGCGAATTGTCGTGTGGCTTTGGCTTTAGGATTTCGGTTCTGTTAGCTGACGCTGCACGAAGCCAAACTCCACCATTGTGTGGGTCGAGTCCTGGGGGCCAGTTCATGTGCATCCCACTTTACTGTTCAAACTTTTTAAAAAATTCACGAGAAATTTAATTAAATGCTATTAGAGTGTACTTTGTTGTGTACTTAAGCTAATTCCATCCATCCATCTTGGTTTGATGCCTCAAAGGACTTCGGGTACAAAGCAACATTGGTGCACCTTCGCGGTCCTGCACGAACGTACATTGTGATAACAGTGATCGCATTGATGGCATTTTAAACAGGCTTTCCTTCATTCCCAAAGGTTGTATTCTTTAGCCCCGATAATTGGTCCTAGCTCAAAAGCCTTGTTGCTGTTATAAAGCCCAAAGTGCGACCAGTTTTTAGTCTCACATCTCACTCGGTGCGACTTCCCTGTTAGTGCCCACTGGGTAAGCCGAAGGAGCTGCAGGTGTCCGAGTTCCAGGCACTGGTTCTGCTCCAGTTCAACGGTCCCGAGGACGCGTGCCTCTCCTACTCCGCCATCGCCGAGGCCACGGCCATCGAGAAGACCCACCTCGACCGCACTCTGCTCTCCCTCGCCGCTGGCAAAAATCAGCGGGTCCTCATCATGAAGCCACTGGTAAGCTCGGATTTACAGTATCGTGTGTTGTTCATCGAAGGTATCAGGTCATTTCCAACCAAGATGCCACGCTTTTGGTGCCTGAAAAACGCCAAATTTGTTTCACATGCTTGGCTATTAAACTACGTAAATGATTTTTTTCAATCTCTATTTTTTAAGTTATGGCTTAGTTACTACTCCAAGGCAGGACCGTCCGTCCCCCTTTTTGCCAGTCGTTTACTTTTTAGCCTAAAAGTTGTGTTGTTTTTTTTCTTTTAAGACGGTAGACATAACGCCCGACCACCAGTTCAGCTTCAACACCAAATTCTCCCACAGCTTGATGCGCATTAAATTCAACCAGGTGCAGCTCAGGGAAACGGTAAGCAACGCCACTCCACCCATGCCCTTCACTCGTGTTCCACCGCCCCTCCCCCCATACATTCGACAACGTGGGTCGATTGACGCTTTGCGATGCCTTGGCCAGCCTGTTTGCTTGTTGTAGAAAGAGGAGCAGGAGGAGACGGAGGAGCGCGTCCTCTCCGACCGCGTTGCCAACGTCGACTGCTGCATCGTGCGTCTCATGAAGGCGCGCAAGACGATCGAACACAACGCCCTCATCGCCGAGGTCTTCAAGCAGCTGCACTTCCCCCTCAAGGTTACTCCTTCTTCCTACTGCCTGCTGTGATTTTATTTTGTTACGGTGGAATCGCCTGCCCAATTAAGGACAAACGTTCTACAATTAGCGTTTTAGTGCCCACCGTAGTTACTCGCACCAGGTTGTGGTGGTTCGGAAGTTCGTAGGTATTTCAAACGTTGATTTGATTTGTGTAATGATTTTCACCGTCGTTGTCTATTCGGACGGCCCCATGGCAATCGCCTGACGTTTTCATCCCGCCAGTCCTGTGTGTGAACCCCACTTTCTCCCTCCACTCACGGAGCACAGACTTCCCAATCAACTGATTCTGAACCTGTGTGGACAATTTACAAGCTTTTTTTCCGACCTACGCGTCTGATGCTGTATTTGCATTTGCTCGCAGTGCCTTAGACTAGTCATGATTAGTGCATTAAAACAGACCCGTCCATTAATATATAGTTCTTGACCATTTCTTAATACCTCTACTTGACTTTGTCGTAAATTGACTATTGTCATCCCAGATTGTGCACGTTTCTTCTCGGTTTTTTGTACAGTTTGCCCATTGCAGTTTCTGCAATGGCCCTCCAGGGCACTTTGTCGCATGTGCTACAACCACGAGTGAACGGAAATGTCAGTGATGCACAAAAGTTTTATGAATATTGGGTTTTAAAGTGCACCGACATTTCTTCTTTCCTGTTTTAACCCACGTCGGGGAGATTAATTGCTAGCGCATGTTGTAATCTGTTTTGCAGCAATCAGACGTGAAGAAGCGAATCGAGCATCTGATTGAGCGTGACTACATGAAAAGGGACAGTAGCAGCAGCTCGACGTACCACTACATCGCCTAAGTGCGCCTCCAGCCGAGTGCATTTGCACGCACACCCACTCCTCCCTCCCTCCCACCCTCCTGTACAGCCATCTTGCGGGTTCGCTCGTCTTCCATCGTCTTCGCCCCACCAAATTAAGCGCTGATCCCTCCTCCTCCCACTCCACCTTGACCCCCAACTTCCCTCTCACCGTGCCCCTTCCCCAGCTCTCCCCACAACTCCAGTGTTGGTTCAGTCTGTTATCGCTGAAGATGCCATCTGTTAGTTTTTGTTAAACTCACTTACTATCATGACCTCAAGCAAAGTCTCAGACGAAAGTTGAAACAACCGCGCTCATTGTTTAGTGTTTTGACTGCTATTTACCATAAAACGTACTCACCGATGCCATGGCTTTGACAAGCAACTACGTCCGAGACGGTTGTTTGCATCCTCAGATTTGTCAGTAATCGCCTCTTTCACACAGAGTTTCGGGAGAAAATTGTTGGGCCGTGGCGATGTGTCCGGTGCCCCAGTTGACGTCTCGCCAGACGGGCAGTTATTGGCTCGGAGGGGTAATGAAAATGCCAACTGCGTAAAGATGACTTCTAAATGTGTTTCTTTCATCACCCCCAATGAGGTGCCAGCGTGCCCACTGGCAAAGGGGTTTGGGGGCGGTGGTTTTTGCTGACTTACTGATTGAGATCTCTCGTAACATCTGACAGGCCTTCAGCGTGGTGAAGGTTAGGGCTTGCATCAAAGCATTGTTGCCTATGGGTTGTTATCGCTTTCGCGTTACCTGTGTGTTAAGAAGCTTCATGTATTTCTGTTCTCGGCGTGCTAACCTATTTAGCGTGACTTCGTTTGGTGTGGAACTGTGTGGTTGCGCCATCCCAAATCAGTTTGAATTAGATTTGTGGGTCTTCGTTCGTTCTAATTGCTTTTGCGTCTTATGCGTTCCCGAACAATTGCTGCGTTTACAATAGACGGCATTCAAACTGGGGACACATTGTGTCTGGTAGGCCATTATGCTTCTCATTGAGGTACTATTGTTCCTCAGAATACGTGTAATTTGGTTACATTAATCGACAAATTTTAAGTCTTCGTTCTAGGGAGAGTTACGGAGTGGGCGAGGAACACTGTCTTAAATGAGTGCGTATAGCGAAGCAGAGGCCAGATTTTGTGTATCACAATTGTCGCGTGACCATCGTTACGGCAATCAAAAATGCCAATTTTTTTTATTGTACTCTTCGTGTAGTTAAAGTACGTACGCGAGATGTTGGCATCAAATTATCCGACGCATGTGGCTAGTTCATGGGCTAACTTGTCATCAAGCGGTCCGTGTGTGCGACTTGTTTCTGAAACCAGCGGTCTACGTGGTAGGCTCCACCATGCTCAACGTCATGTCCTAGCGAATTCGAGTGGCTGTAGAAGAACATTTTGCGTGTGAAGGTTGTAAACTTAATATTATTGCTCATGCAGTTTGGTGTGACCGATAGAATCCACGTAAATACCTCCACGGAGGTATTTTTAGCTCGCAACTGACTTTTATTCCAATAGTGGTGGGCACTCCACGTTCAACTGCCAGTTCGAGGAAATTCCAAGGGGGAAATTTGTGTAACTCAAACTTTTCCTTATTATTCGTCTTTGTTGAAATCATCAAGGAAGCCAAACGGGTCCAATGACTACGTAAATCAGTCAACCGAAGTTTTCGCCAAAAGGTTTTAATCTAAACTACGTAAAATAGCAAATCAAACCATCTGCTGGTTTTTTTAGCGTAAAATGACAGACAAGCATTCAACTGGATGTTTTATAAAATGGCCGCACGGGTGTAAGGACTTGAAACTGTGTTAATGGTTGTGGGGCGTTCGAAAACGTGCTGTGTCATCACCATCATTCTGCAATAAAAGTAAGCTTCAATTTTTAATTCAAATACATTCAGTATTTGCTAAGGAATCCACTGTCACGGGGTTGGTTTGCCAACAGACAGTACGGGCTCCCCTTTAGAGGGTCCTGCCAGTCAACCGTGAAAATTGAAATCCACACCAAACTTATTCAATATTAACTTAGTTTCATAGCCTGGAAAGTTTATTTAGATTCCAAGGTTCACAGAGATGCCTTGCGGAAGATCAGGTAGGTGAGCCGCGTTGGTTGCCCAGATATCCCGTCTTTTGTCGTGCATTGGCCGAATATTCAACGAATTTTACTACTTGCAGAATATTATTTAGCAAACATCGTATCGCCTCATCTCAAATTATAGGCGTTGCAATATACTGGTGCCTAAACCTATCGTTTACGGCTACTGAAAAGGAAAACTGCCACAGCCATTAATGAGGATTTCATTGGAAGCAAATGATCCGATATCCGCGTTCTAATTCACGCCCCGTCCGGGATGAAAACTACCTTTGCCCCGTCCGAGTAGCCCAAATTCACATTCAAGTCAGGTTTGGTGTTCCAAAGTGGCTGAATTGGTTACCGTCGCTGTGCCCAATGGCCCGTCGTTAACGGTCGTTAAATCACCAGGCCGATATGCCTTGGTGATATAGGAGACAAGGCTCTTAGAATGAATGCTACGTTCTCCAGGCCGAAGTTGGCAAGTTTTACGGTCGCTTTGTGTGTCATGTACACTAAATTACTTTAATGATGATGTGCTTGCCCATCTCATTGGTGGTGGTGCCTATTGCGCACCCATCGCTGCAGTGTTGGGCTTTGATTGGTTCGAGGGCCTACCGCAGGCACCAGAACGGCAGATTGTAAACATGCGACAACTGAGTTATGCGCGCAGAATACACTGAAACGCGGCAAACTTTGGTTGACCACGCCTAAAACCAAATGCACCCTAGCAAATATAAGTTGGCTTCTGCAACAACAGTAAAAGTACGGAATTTGTTTTCCACACATAAAGGTGTATTTAGCATTTTGTATATTCCATAACCATGTAAAGCTGGCCTACCACTCATCCGAAAGCTTCACTGCAAATCTTAAAAAGCAGGTGAGGATTTAAGTACTACACGTGCCATTTGACAAATTATTATTCGAAAACCAGCCAGTCACTGACACCACAGTACGACTAGTCTGTAGAATAAGGATAATGGTACACTAGTGTTTTTTTTTAATCTCGCCAATTTTCCACCTTTCTGCATTATCAAGTCTTTGAATGTTGCAATTTTAAAAATTTCCTTCATCTTGTTCTAAGTCACAATTCTTGGTGTAAAGTCATTTTTATTTTGCTTGATGGCATTTAGATAACGAAGTATCCCCGTGCCAGCGGTTAAATCCTTTGAAAATGAGAATTGTTTATCAAATTTATAGATTCGTTTGGTTTTGTAAGTTGGTGTCCTTACCTGGATTTTTATGCGTACTTATCTTGAGCAATTTAGTCAACATAAACGTCACCCAAATGTACGTAGTGCTTTAAACAAATGCGCAGTTGGAGGACTCGACCATACAACAACAAATGGATTTTAAAGTCGAGGCCGCGCATTAAATTGGAATGAAAAATGCCCTTATACTAACCTATAGACTTCTCGTGTATTGTTAATGTTTGCAATTTAACTAAGATGCTGAATAGGCTTGGGGAATTGACCAAATCCCTTGACACATAAGTGGTTGCAGTAATTGGATTTTGTTAGGGCACAGAAAACACGTAAATTTTGGTGTGTGTGTGTGCGCCAACCAGATCTAAAAGCCATGTAGCCTAATGAAGCTATATCACACATGTCTTGCCTCTCGCAGTTGGCACTATTTCTCCTGTTTCTACGGAGGTAAATGTTTAGTTGGAGAAGGTGGCTGCTGTCCGCGTCTCAGCTCTGAACGCTTCGCTGCCCTGACGAGCGTAAGGGTGTCATGACGAGTTGCAAACATTACCGATCAAGTGGACGTGGTTAGCAGGTTGCACACAGCCCGTGTGCCGCGTCGGATGCTTGCTTTGTTACCCTCATGATTTTACGGATAAAACGCAAGCTCTGTTCATGTAGACTAGGAACGCATTCTTAGCTTAAAAATCAATTCAAATGGATGACGCTGGTTCATAAGCCATCCAAGTTGTGCTGAGAAAAGAACCAGTACTGCGAATTCCACCGATTTGGTCACAGTCCTTTTACTAAATGGTCGAAATCGCCAGCGATTCGAATCAACGAATTTCTCAATGAAACCGGTTGCTCAAAACCCTAGTCTTGTTAAAATCGATCAAGTTTAGAATTTTCCTCTTTATTCACTTTTTTGGATGAGGCGTTGAGTGCACTTTTAAAATGGATTTCGCGTCATGCCAAATTCAAGCTAGCAACATTGCGATCGCCGCATTACTGCATGGGACTAAAGTTACGCAACAAAGGTATGACTTTCACAAATGCAGGAAGTAAAAAAGCAGGAAGTTTATGTAAGAGATTGCCGTTAAAATAGCTTGTGTGCAGAAAAATTTAAAAAAAACGCAGTTTTGCATTTTATTGGACCTGCCATCTCTAATGTAGTATAGTGTAAGGAGAGTTATAGATTGTTTTTTAAAATCCTTTTAAACCCCCTCAGTTTGAACGTTATTGTAGTATTTTCGCAATTGCAGTATCAGTTTGCTAAAAAAAAACATGCACTTCTGGTCATCAAAATCAGCTCTTTGCCTGTTCATGTAACACTCGACATTCTGGAGAACCTGGTGCGGTTGCAACAGTTTATTAATAGTCTAGTGACTTCACTAATTATTAATGCTAGTTTTTAGCATGTATAAATCATTCGCCATTAGCGTTTTTACTCTAGCTCTTCTGCGAATTTAGTTCGATGTGTGACAGGGGTTTCAGCTGACAGCAGTTTCACTTGTCCTCTGGCGGCTTCATTTATTAAACCGAACCTTGACATATGGCTAGTGTTTTGCTTGTGGTCGTACTCAAGACAGAGACCAAGTGGATTACTCAGGCCGGCAGAAAGTCCTTCCCTTGCAGAAATTCCGACTGAAAACGGGGCTAACGAATGCTAATCAATAAAGAGATCCCTCCAGCGTAGAAAGTACTTGAGATGAACCCCAATTTAAATCCCAATTTCATACTACTAGTAAGTAAGTGAAATGGTTTCTACGTTACCTGGACATCGAATGTGAACGGAGACAGCCATCCAGGGGCATTTGTGTCACGCTAAATGGCAGGATCCCTGTTCAACACAGCCTCTCTTCACCAAGTCAAGTTACGCTGCTGACATTTACCTGAAAAGGTTTTGCGCTTACTCATCGCCCGTTCTTGCTTAATAGCGAAAACGTTCCTTAACACAAAATGCTTATGAGACAGGAAAGCCACGATGCGGGATTAGTAGATTCCTCTCGCGTATCACTAATCAAGAGACAATGACGCACAAGCACCACCCACCCCTCACCCCCATCCCACCCCACCCCGCCCCACCCCACCCACAAACTGAAACAGCACGCGCACATGTAATTAGAAAACGGAGCACGCCTCACCGGGCCTATCCCACCCCACCTCACGCCACCCCACTGATGTCCTCGCAGCACGCGTCGTGGTCAATTCTGCCTAATTAATCCCACAAGACCAATGCATGACCAACGAAGAGTACGGCGACCTCAGGTTTTTCTAATACCCGAACATGCGCAAAGAATACAAAACAGCCAATAAATACTGCGTGATGCCTGTAGTCATGGCAACTCCCAATAGATTATTTCCACTAAAACCGTTCAAAGTTTCTACCAGTGGAGGTTGCAGAGGACAATTTGTGAGAATCGGGAAGGTCGAAGTTGGGTTTCTCTTATTAAATAACATATCTATGAGAAATCTGATGAGAGGAGACGTAGTTGACCCCATTTTGCGTCTCATTTAAGCAGCAGTTTGCTTATTTGTGTCTCTGTAAAAAAGGGATGCAAATAAGTAATAGTATCCTAAATTACTGAAGACTCTAAACTTTTGAAATCGTGATCTTGTTAGTGCTAAAATCAGTCGTTATTGCCCCTTGGAGAATCACGGAGTAAGTTGGAAGTAAACGCGTGTCAGAACACCGTAGCTCAGTATGAGGCGAGCAAATACGAAGCGGCTTAATTTCCCCTAATAAGCGGAATCCCATGTTCAAGGGCTCTCGTGCGAAGCTGCTTAACTTTCTCTCGCAATGCGGTAGGCAGGGCTGCGCCATCTCGTTGGGTTTAGATCCAAAAGGTTTCCCTAATAATAATGTCGTTGGGTTGAAGATTACTTGCCTTTATGCAGGTGCAAAATTGTGGACAATTTTTTGGTCTTATGCCGTGTGCTTGATCCGGGGCTTGGCTTCGTATCACCTAATTCGAGTTCTGGGCTGCAAGTGTCTACCTCTTCAATCCCCAATGAACTACTGCTGTATGAGGTACCAATGTGTTCTGCGTCTTTCCATTCATCTTCCTTCTCATTCCTTTCATGTCGCCTCACTGACTTCCTTACGAGACATTGCCATTTTTCGCCCAACAGATCCACTGTCCGACATTACGACATCCAAGCAGCCGTTTCGTGCCATTCCCCTCCCACGAATTTGAGGATGCTGGGGAGGGACCAGCACAAGAGAAGTTTTTGTTTCTTTTTGACGTTTAGTACTCTTGGCCGGCAAACAAAGCGGAGGAATCCAAAGGAAAAGCACATCAAGATTAAACTGGAGGTCAAAAATGCGTCTATATCTTTTCATGATTTCGAATTTTTAAATACCTGATTTACAGCCATGCTTTGATCTTTGCCGTCACTGCGCTACACGATTTTAAAGATGTTTGATTAACTCTGGTTATCCTGCCTTTTGTTGCACTTGTGTTCATTTTCGTAATCCACATCAACAAAACCTCTGATAGTAATGTTAGACCAAAAGCAAAATCCTATTTTTCACCCTAATCAGGCAATTCGTCATTACCACTCCATCAAAAATAATAATCTTCGATAAATATTCAACTTGCATGACTGCTTGCTCTTGAAAATCTGTCACAATGTCATTTGTTTTCGAGCGAATTTCCTCAATTCCATAGAGCGAGAACGAAATCCTCCTACCACCGAAACGGGGTGGAGAAGTTTGGCTACAAGCGAGTCATTTATGCACGACACAGCTTACCCCTGCAATAACTTCTGTCTTGTAAACAACCCACAGCTTGTCCTCACCTGATCTGTATTTATGCCTGGCTAGGCAGCCATTTTGTTTTGCTCTGCTAAGCGGGATTATTTCGGCTGCATGCAAATCATTTACATTTGTCATTCTAGTTAACCAATGACGTGGTGACCCGAGAGTAGATTGATTGGACATGAGGAGATGTGGAAGGTCGAGTCGATGAAAGAAGAATGAGAGAGGTGAGTGTCAACGACGGCGACACAATCTACCGTTAGCACGACACTTTATAGGGAATGTTCTTCGAAGTCATAGCTTAATTAGGAAATGGCTCATAGAATTTATATTCATCGCAGAGGGAACTTATTATTTCATGAACCCTTCCCCCGTGTTCCCCGCATGTACCCATCTGCCTTCCCATCTGTTGTGGTTTGACGAATCGACCGCCGTAACCCCTCCTCTTCCTCCTTCTACTTCCCCCCTTTGTCAGTTATCAGTGTTTTCCTCCGGGCAAGTTTTGTTACAATCTGCAGCACATCTGTTTTTGGTGTCTGGAGGAATCGGTTCCCAGGCAACAAATTCAAGAAAACCGTGGTAAATTAAATATGTGAAAAATTTCAGGAAACTCAGGCCGGCAGAATATTGTGTAGAATAAATTTTTATCTGTGGTTTTCGGTAGTGCTCATCTGCTGGACTCGGCTTAGTCACGTCGCAGATTGAATCTTTGATGCACAATGCTTGTGGTTTAATTTACCTTTAAAGAGTAAATGCGAAGAACGTTTTTTGCCGAGCAACCGAATCGGCAGTTCCCCAAGGTCAAAGAAAGCGGTCTCTAAGACTGAGCACCTTAACCATCAACCCTAGCAGTTAGTCCAAACCATGACCTGTTTAAGGAGTTCATTTTTGAAAAGAAAAGTCGAAAGCATTTATCCCGGTTTTCCCTAAAGTTTATATTTTCTCTACCTTTTTGACCTAACAATAAAGCGTCAAGTTGGTACAATCTGAGTTCTCGACACCATTCGTGCTGCGGCTTGGGATGTTTGTGTGGCCTACGGAGAAGCCGTCATGAAGGAGCGAGCGGCAATTCGATCTCAGTGACGCACCCCTGCCCCTCAGTGCGCCGGGTGACTTCGATGAGCACCGTTTTCGCGCGGTTTTAAAAAAAGTAGACGTCAAACCAAGTGGGAGTTGGCATGGCAAATGACTTGCAACCGGAAAGCATTTGTCGCCATGTAAATGGACAAGGTTCATTAGGTAAGGGCGTTGGTGCTGCGCTGGTTAACTTTAAACTAAGTTGTCGGCGCTTTACGATTGCAGCAGATTTGCTTAATCAGCACAGGTCACTCCTGGATACAAACGAAGGTTCCCTGTGTCGCAGTGGTGTTCTCCGCGGTTGATCAAGGAAAGGATCGGAAGGGGAGGAGACTGTGAAAGCCTCGACTATCATCACACAATCGACCAGCACCTCTGCTTTGACTAATTACTCAGTAACCTGATCGCCCAGGCCAATTAATTATGCAGAATAACAACGCCCGACCACACACACACCCCGACTTTCCTAGACCTTCGTCCTAGACTTCCATTGGGCAGTTTGGAGGCATCATTTGAACAGATCCGACCTCGTTACTTTAAATGGTTACCTTTTGCTCTCATTCAGCCTGACATGACATTGGACAGCGGCAAATATCTCAAGAATAACCCCAAAAAACAACCAACAAAACGATGGGATGGTGGTTGAATTTCGTACACGATTCCGTCGAAGATGCTACTAACTAGGATTTCGTTAGTTTTGTTGGGATCGTGTGGTTAGTATATGACTCGAAAAAAAAGCAGGCGTGTTCCCCAACTCAATCGTCGACAAAGCCAGCGTGCACTCAGCTTCGACCAGTGACTGAGGGGCGTTCCAAAGGCTTGCATTTTGTTGCCCGTGCTGAGATCCTTTTGGTTGTATAGTCGAACGGAAATTGAAAATGGGAGCCAAATTGCCGCCAAAGTGAACACACTCGTATTACTGGGCCAGTTCATAAAACCCAAAAGAAAAGTGAAAACATGGATGAAAAAGTCTGTAGTGTCTAACTTTTAGGCTTTTAAATAGCAACTGGCTAGCTTATTTACCACCCTATAATTTCGTTACTAAGTTGTTTCACTACTGGATTCAACACTGACGTCTGTTGTCATTTCGGACATCAGACGCAGACTGACTTGACAGCTGTCCAAATTATTTTGCAACGATAAGCGCCACAAAAGTGAGCTGTTTTTCTAATGGACCAGCATGCCGAAAGTTTGCGCTCATCAAATCAACTGAGCACTAGGCCATTTCAAAAAATTCAAACACAATTTCAAGATCCGTTCGATGAGGCATTAAGGACAATGGATCGCTCCTAGATCATTCAGTGTTATCCAGCTGCCTTCATGGGAACGGTGCGGTAGGCACTTCAATTTGTGCAAATAGCGGGTATCTACAGGCGGTTTTATTTTCTGACTAAAATTATGCACCGAACATGTGTACAACTTCACGAGTTGGAAACTTATGCGTTACCCGTATATGTACGCACATTTCAAGAAAACATTTTGTGATCAGACGAAAAACGCTTGGCCCACCTTATTCGATGAACGTGGTAAATTGGCAAAAAGAACTACCAGCATGAAGCTAAAAATGAGGGCACGTAATGATTTAGCGGAATCTTTTTCTTTCTGCAATTAAACAGTGCGAGACAATGCACGTAGGGTAGTTAAGCGACCAATGATCAGACTCGCATGGACCCGGTTCTGATTACCTTCGTCATCGACTGTTTCCAGTTTCATTGAAAAAAAAACAGACCAATTCGGGACCGATAGCAGCAGGCTCGCAGCAAGAGACAGAGAAAGACACACCTCCATGAGGAGGCCTCAGGAAAAAAAATATGTGGATCCACCAGCTCGCATTAGTGAGGTTTACTTTGAAAAGATAGGCGTCGTGGTGGTGCTTCATATTATTCGTCACAAATTAACGACTTGTCCTAAACCACCCGCGAGTATTTAGCTCGTATGTAGTGTGCAACGGTTGGATTCATTTCCTGATGATGCAGTTTAGCTGGTTGGAAAGAACTTACGTCGAATTCTACGTGAAAAGAAATCACCGCGGTCTAGGACGAGTTAAGCAAATTTCATAATTTTATGTGGCCTAAATTGCAAATGTAACTCTCAAGAGATAGATACAAAGGCTACAAAAGTTACCATACTATCATTCTTGATAGAGGGCTTCAGTCGTAACCCATAGAATGAAACTTGACGCTCGCACACTCAGATGTGCTTGTAAAAAAGGATCATCTGCAACTAAGTTGGGGTTCGCCTTTGATTACCTTCACGCAAGTGCTTTAACATATCCTTTCGACCAGTCACCCGTGCACATATCTCCTTGACTCTAAATGTTGATAAGAGTAGTCTTTAGAAAGACGTAGTCACAGACGCCCCGAAGAAACAACTCGACGGCCTGATTCGGTATATCCTTTGAGACTCGGTTTAAAGATTAGCGTAGCGTATACCGAAGCTGTGATGGCGGCGGAGCTTGCATAACCAGCACAGATGTCAACAACGCGGAACGACTTTCGTGGGGTGGAATCTGTGGCGGGTTTCAGGGCGACGATTCGAGGGCCCACCCTGCTGTGATAGAACCAACTGTTGCCAAGACGACTGTGTGTCTGAGTGCCCCAGCTGTAGATGACGCCGTCGGCGTCCAGAGCCAGACAATGCTGACCACAGGGGTGCACGGAGACCTTGACGATGCGCGTCTTGTCGAAATTCTTCACGGGCACCAGGTGGTAGGCGCAACCGTTCAGTGGAACGCCGAGTCTATCGCCGCAAGCGTAGCCTGCAGGAACCGCACAATAGTGGATTTAATGGGACGAAGGTTCTCTGACAGCCGTCGGCCACGTCACAATGAAGTCGCATGTAGTTACAAATTTTGAAGCGCACCTAAGGTATTTTGACAGAAAAGGCGTCGCGCAATTAAGGTTGGAGCAATGGAAGGGTTTTTCCTAGGAGGACTCGATAAATTGTTTTGCACTTAGACGTGACAGCTTGAACTTTGAGGTTTATGGCTTATAGACTTTATGTAACAATTAAAACTAACCTTATGTGACTTCCGAAAACTGATCATCTTAAATGAAAACAGAAAGTTACGCATTTTTAATCATTTGCCTTTGTAATTTCGAAAATCATAGACTGATTAGGAGATCGGTTGCAAATTAAACCTTACACAATTAATATTTGCAATCACACTGACAAAATTCCGTTATTGACGTGCAGTGAACGTGCAACAAACGAGCGCGAGCTAGGCGTATTCACGAGTTGATCGGATTTTATCGATTGTCGATTACGCTTGACGTTTGAGATGCACTCACGCGCTGTGCTATAAAAGCCTTGGGTGGTCAAATGCAAACAAATCGACATGTTCGCAATCGTCGGTCTTGCCTTTCTTCTCGGGATGTTACGGCCCGTCAGCCAAGTCGCTGTTTTTTTTAATGTAGACGTTAATGTTCCGAAACCCAATTAAGGTGTACATCGTGTCGCGCAGCTGCCGGAAATCCCACGATGATAATTTAACAACGCAAGCACTACCAAAACGCATTCAGCAAGTTAGACGCTTTGAGTGAATCGTTGGTTGATAATTGATCCACGCTCTCGGCACCAACCAATCCCGATGTCCCGACGAACAATGCTTCCGATACTGACTGAAAACCCTTTGGACGCATCGGCTGGCCAGCCCGAGATGGGGGTTGCACACTGGGTGGTGCTGATGGTGGTGTCCGTAGGAGTACGGCGTTCGATGACTCTCTGACAGCTTGTAATTAGTAGACACGAGTCTGGTGCCTATTGGTTTGTCAGCTAATACAGATCTACCTAGTGCAAGAAGCCAGTTTATTTAACAGTTTTGTTAATACAATGAACGGTCTGAGTGGCAGTTGCTTTTTCATCCTGCGAGTTCTACGCTAGATCACTGGCGCATTAAATTGGGGCTCGTTTAACAAGGGGCAATATGTGTAAACTGACGCCAGGTGGCAACGTGGCAGTTGTTTACATAAATTTGGTGCTAACTTATGCCACAGCACACCTCAGTTGTAAGTCCTCGTCAATTTTATGGAATACACGTTAAGGAATGTTCGAGGCTTTTAGCAAACCCAGTCCAGCTTGGGCCGAGTATTCGTGGTCGTGTAATCCATCAGCGACCTGCACAATAACGCAATTAGAATCGTCAAAACGTGTTGGGGTTTCTTAGTGATACGAAACCCACATCAGAGAAAGTGTTTCAACAAAATTTTATCCAAGTATAATACATTAAGAAACCATTTTTTCCTAAAATAGAGGATGATTCTCTGGCAAGGGGAAGGGATGCTGAGAATAGCCGTGGGTCTGTCGGCGATTCATAATTTATGAATGAGTTTTGACAAAAGCCTTTGCACCTGTTTTTGCGTATGATTTTTGCAAAAACTCTGCTGGCGTCTCCTGGTAAATAGGTTTGGGTGACTCAGCTGACGTTTGTTTTCAATTTGGCCATGTGAGACCTTACAGCGTAGTAAGTTACTTGCGGATCCAGATGTGGCTAGAGGAACAAAGCACTTTTATTCCTCTTCACCCATTACTGCATCTCAAGACCAGGGCTAAACATGAACTGCTTGAATACCTTCACAAGATATCATTTCTGTAAACAGACTCAAATGCCAACAACCTAAGCTACTACGACGTTCCTTGTTGTACTCCTCAGACCAGTTCTTTTCCTTTTACTGAACTCTTCGGTTTTAAAGCAAAATGGACATTTTTCGCGGTGCTAGGTCCTGTCATGGATTGAGCAAGGTAGTTCAAGATCTCACCATGTCACCTTGAATGCTAACGGAAAGTTGCGCATTTCTAATCATGTGCCCTTGTAATTTCAAAATAGGAGATAGGAGATCGATTTCAATTTGAACCTTACGTCTTTAATATTTGCAATCACACCGAAAAAATTCCTTTATTGACGTGTAGTAAACTTTCATCAAACGGGTGCAAGGGAAGCGTATTCACGAGTTGATCGAATGTCATCGATTGTCGATTGCAGTTGACGGTCGATATTCCCTCACGCACGCTGCTACAAAAGACATGAACAGTCCAATGTAAATAGATCGTCATAATTATTGTAGTCGGGGATTGATCAATGTAATTCAGGCTCCTAACATGTCATTTTTTAAGCGCATTATCGCAAATACACACCATTACTTGAGGCAACTGAAGATGTTGACAGCCTTTAGCACTGCCGTTTTCGTTCATGTAGTATGCTTTATTAAAACCTGTCCAACACTTTTTCTTCTGCAAACAGCCCAAGAGAAATTTCTTTACGCAGGCAGCGGTTGTGTTAAATCTCTGGCAGTAATCTTTGTCAATTTCCATTAATTTATCGTTAACTTGCCCCACAGTAACTTGTCAAGTTTTACACGTTATCCTTTCAAGGATTGTAAGAGTAAGTGTACTTTAATTGTACAAGATTTTGAGTCCATATTTTCCACGAATGGATGACGACACCACATCGCTGAATGCAAAAAGAAAACTTGTTATTATCAGGTGCTGTTTTATACAACCACCATAGTTTTTTGGTCACTGAGAGAACAATTACGTTGCGTGAACATTCGTGTCCATATTGGGGTAAATTAGCGTTTTTCACGATATCTCTCCTTTTCCAACATTACACACAAATACTCCTCAAAAATAAGGAAAAATAGCCAAACAAATTTTATCCAACTTTGGTTGATCCCCATTATTAATACACCATTCATCATTACTCGGAATTGACTGCTATCTCCTACATAGCTTGTCCTTCCCCTGCGCGAACAACTTCCACCCGTCAACACGAGAGAGTAGTTATCCGTCGTCAGTCACATGCCATTGCATTAATCGAATCCATTTCCATCGGCTGTGCTCAGTAGGAATTGAAAAAGAGGGTAATCATTTGACACAGACCACACGTGGAGGAATGTAGGTTTTCCTAATTAAAGCCAGTTATCGTCTCTAGTGGATTAGTGGGTGCTGCGGTGAAGGTCGCCATCACCGTACTTGTGAGTACAAGTCGACTCTTATGGCTTTTCCGTTCAACGTGTTCAGCCAATTCCTCTAAGCGTGAACGACAAGGAGTACGCAGCGATGCCTTTGGTATTTGACCAATTGATGTTAGTAAAATTTCTCACGCATTGGTTTTGTATCCTTTGACTGCTAATCACACATCGCATTGACACTTGCTGTACCCTTTTGACGTTAACAGTGTCAGTTGGCTTGGCAAACGCTTAGTAACAGAACAACCAAGAATAACTCGAAATGGTTTTAGACAATACGTTCAAAGCGAAATTCGGCCAATCACGCTCGTTTGACACAATTGACAGAACACCCTAACAGGGAGGACGAAACAACGATTTGAGGTCAAAAGTGGCGCTGCTTTGGGAGTTGCAGGCATGGTGCCCACAGAGACGAGAATAGGCATTTTGATAAACACTTCTTGGATGATGTTATCGTTCAGTTGGTTTTTATAACGAAAAACCAGTTGAATGACGTATAACGACAAAATGTTGACACAAGTGTTCGATCATTTAACCACACGCAAGCATTACCTTGCTCTACTTTCCTAACTGGCGGAGGATATGTTATCGCGAGGGTTCTTTGTGCTTACATTTCGTAATGATCTTAAGGCACTCAAGGTACAGGATAATTACTACCATACGGTTGAGTGTGCTGACACCTGACTATTACAGTAGCTTCCTTTGATAACGGAGATCACGAAAATCGAGGATTCGATTTAGCAGGAAACCAAATGACCACCCCTAAGACCCATTTCCTTTGGCTTAAACACTACGCATTTATAAAAAGCTGTCTAAAATAGTTGGCAGCTCTTCATTGCGCCATCGAGGGGTCGTGTTAAACATTTTCAACGGAACGAAACACTTGTTTTCGTTGTAATGAGGCGGGAAATCTTGAACGTTGCGTGACAAGCAAGTGAGTCAGTTTATTAATTACTTTTGCATGGGAGAGGCAAGCAAGGTTGATTTGCCCATGCGTATTTTTATTCACGTGCGTAAATACGACTACTGACCTTTCTACTTACAGCTTCCTTTATTTTTTTTAAATCGAGCAGGGCTTGTAGAGACCAATCGACTGCACAGGGATGATTTAGTTAAGCCTGAACATGCCTGCAGATGCAAGTCCCTGTCACCCTCTTGCCGAGGCTGTTTAAAGCCGCCTCTAATAACAGCCGATTTTTGTTGCTGGTTAAAGGACACTGCAGAAACCTCGCTGACAACGCATTTTTCGCAAAGAACATAATGTCATCTAAGCAAGGCAAATATATCTCTAGTAATTACATTCTAACAAAGAGAGACCTCGAAGCATTTGAATAAGGAAATTCAACCAAGTAGACACAAGATCTAGCCAAATTTCGATCAGCTCAATAAGCCACAAGTAATGCAAAGCATAAGGATTTAACGGGAAACACAGGGTCAAGACAGTCGAGTTGTACACGTTAGGACACAGAAGTAGAAATGTTGCATGTGAGTAACGCATCAAAATAATTCTAATTCAAGCCTTCTGAGTAAGCCTAATGCACTAGGCCATTGAGTCCCTCTTGATCCAAATTATAACCATGGAAGAATCAGGCTCATTACCTGAGAACATAAATGGCCCCAGTGTAACCCAGTTAGTCGAGAAGCGCTTGATGCCATTATTACAAATTGAGGTTTGATAACCTGTGTATTTTTTTGTGAATCAATGCCATGTCTGAATTATCGGGCATTTTAACCACTTGATCCTTAACAGCAACTAGGACCAGAGTGCAGTGTATACCTCGTGTGTCTTGCTGACCAAACATCCGCCTGCTCTGACGGAGTCGCGGAATGCATTGGTCTGCTTGCACGGCCCCACAACGCTTCTGAACGCTCCGATAACAAAGGCCAGACACGACCGTTAATTCGCGTCGGACTAGCCCAGTGCGTGACAATCGAGCAGAGGTGAACAGCGACCAATGAGAGGTGACGATGAGTCATCGACACAAATTAACCACCGAGCAAGCCTCGCTCACCCTCATGTGCTGGCGATCCACTACATTGTGACTAAAAAATGCTAAATGCTGGCCTTGAACCAAATGCACGAGTTTTACACCAAACTGCAAATCCTTAATTTGCGTTGTCACCCTAATTAGAACGGCAGTTTGCATACTCAGAAGTCCGAGGCAGTGGGCTTGTCTGGATAACAAGTGCAAGTTAGTTTTAATAAGAAATATCACCGCTGTGAGGTCGTTTTAGCGTTGTGCACCTTCTTCCAAACCCGCTTTGCAAATCGTATGAAACTCGGCACCATTAATTACGGCGACCCCACAGTGAGATCCGTTTAGTCTAAACTCCTTTGGTAGATACCTGTTATGAATAGCATGCTGTAAAAAGTACTACAAAAGTGCACATCATGTCGACGAGGTTTTCCCAGCTCTGCCTCTATTACCAATCCAAATTCAGGGTCGGAGTAGGTCTGGCACTCTAACTTTGAACTCCTTGACGAAAACTAACAAAGTAACATTTACTGGACGTAGAGTTCATTGATGTGCTGTTATTGTGGCGTCACATGGTGGGCTTTGATTAGCAAGTTGACTACATGTTGCCCGCTTGCTGAGAGGAGCCGTGACGTTCTTTCGCAATCACCGAATTCCCACGTGTGAATCTACTCCAGGCCGTCATCACTCAGTCGCAAACGCGCGCCCGCGCACACCAAGTTTCTTCATTCCCACCTAAACCTGTGTGTGTGTGTGTGTGAGGGCGCGTTTACTTGCGCAAAGGTGACACATGCATCTCCCCATTAAAATCTCCAGTTATAATTCTCATTTGCTTCGTTGCTAATGCGTATAACAGGCCTCGGAAATTGCGTCAATGACTCACGCCTAATCACCGCGATGACGTTTGACAAACCAACGTCTGCATCCCCAGTATAATGACAAGTGTGATAAAAACAAAAATACTTAGATTCTGGGCCGAGAGGCGTCGCGTACATTGGGAACAAATGCAAATTTGCAATCTGGTGGCAATGCCATGCCAATTTCTTAAATCCTCATTCAAAATAATATTGCATTTTTTAAAACGACCTTGCAAAAAACTCAAGGAACACGCTTTAACCAAGACTTTTAAGACTTTAACTTTTAAGTTGGAATTATTTGTCTTTGGGCTTTCACCTCAAATACGATTATTCGATTTACGGTAGTGAAAATTTTTAAAACACAGCATCTACTCTTTTATCTTTTACCAATCTCAGACCTTGCAAATTCCACGCGCCACCTTCTGGAAGGTGGCCTCCAAATAAATTAGAATTCAGTTATTTTCGACTGGATCTCGTAGAATGTGCAGACTTAGATACTCGCGGTCCTAAGCGGCCTTGCTATTATCTTGTTTTTTTTGGAAATGTTGCATGAGTGCACAAGTCTGGTGCCGCTAATTTCTTCGGTCATGGATTTATTAACTCGTCTGAATGGTGTCATAGGCAATGAATGATTTGCGTCAGTCTAAGCGACGATAGTCGAAAACAGCTTGAGGTCCAAAGAATGCCACATTGTTTACGTGAAATGTAAATGACAGGAGACGACTTTAAAGCCCAAACTGTCTTAACCATCAAAGTGTTCTGGGCGAGCTTTAAATGGATCACTGCTCCAACCACTCTACGGAGTTGCTCCTAGTTGTTTCCCTGTCGGTTGCACCATAGATTTAGAATTATTGAGAACAACGAAATCAATAACGGGTAGGTTGACTTCTTACTAGAGCTGGGTGGATTTTTAGTGGTTCAGTGTCATTTTGAGAGCGAAACAAGCAATAATAATATTTTGGTTTGGGACATTCACCAAATTCCTTTCGGAATACGGACCCAGTAGAATATAATGACTGTATTTAAAGCGTGGAATCACATTATTGGGACTGACTGATGGACATAAGTTAATAGTCCCGTCAGGCAAATTTCGAGACCATCTAGCCTGGAAAATGCACTCTTCACGTGTGCAACCACTTCGTGGATCGTTCTAATCACGCTCGTAGTGGTCTCAAAAAATACTACTACTGAGGTCGAGTGAAGTGGGGGCTTTGACCAAAAGTTGGCGATCTTAAACTGACAAAACGAGTCCTCGGAGGTAAGGAGTGTGGCTTCAGACTTTTGATTTTCCTTACTCAGAGTGCGCAAGGGAGCCCTAGTTGTTGTGTTTATTTGTCACTCGACCACTACGAAATGCTGTTATCCAACGTTTCTTTCTATTAAGAAAGAGCAGGTGTTATGGATAACTTACATTCCAGTCAAGTCCACTGACACAGTCCTCGGTTTTTAAAAGCAAACTTCAAAGTAGCCCAATTTTCAAACTGATTAACTTAACTTCTAAGGGGTCTTAAGCATCATTCGACAATCCATTGATGGTGGCTTTTTCAGAACACCATGAGATACGTGGTCTAACAGTCGGATAGCTAAACTTCACGAGTGCATTACACGATAATTAAAATTGGCAGTGTGTTGCTATGCTGAGACTTGTAATTATTCGTCACAGTCTCGAAAGTCAGACAAGGCTGTTTTTCGTCGTCGTCGCGAATTAGGAGCCATCAATTTGGATAATTAATTGGTGACTTCACAAACGTCACTGTCGTTTGATGAGTTGCCATCCTTGCACATCCCTGGCAACCCCTGAAAACCTGAGTAGCAGTTAGCCGGGGAAAAAAGACGAAGAGGTGGCAGCAAATAGTCAGTTCGGTTTGGCCAAGTCAGCGAAATCTTCCCAAAAATTAGACGGGAAGACAACAGGGATAGTATGCGCATTGGGTCAAATTCGCGATGAAGATATCAGATCAAAAGAAGATTACGGAGCCGAAGTAACGGAGTGTGTGGATGTCTGCATAATAGGCGAATTTTCCACAGTTACTGGGCATACAGCACACTGCAGAAGTTGGAGAATGTGGGCGCGCACACAAATGCTTCTTATGTGCAGATAACAGAGTGTTTGGCAAGTCAGGTATCAAGATGTTTTCCGCGGTAACTACCCTTTTCGTTAGGCTGGCGAAACTCATGAGGTGAGCAAATATGTCAACCGGAACCAGTTGGGAGGACTTTGAGACGTCGCTAAGCGCCTTCTCGCATATGAAACATCTAGATAAATCGTGCACATTTAGAAAAATATACCTTGTCCCCAGGCTTGAAAACAGTTTCACAAAAACATGACTTGTGTGCACAAATAAGACAGCCTGTGTACTCAAATGGATTCCCTTTTTACCTGCAACTGGCAGATTCTCTGTCGAATTCAGAATAGCCCTTATCAAGAAGTGTAACCCTTTTTTTGAAATTAATGATCTGTTTGTGTCAGTTGCAAAGACAGCAAATTACACTGCTCTTTGATGCACTTATATTTGACTTAATTTATTCCTCATTTGGCTCAAAAAACTTCCTTTATCTTCCTTAGATAACTCTTTTTTTTCTAAAAATCAGTTTTATGTTCGACCACACAGCAAAACTTTATAAAGGCACCTGTGTCTTTAGACAGTCTTACCGTCTGAGAGCTAGGCATTATTCACTTTAAAAATGACAATTGTCCCTAATTAGCCAGGTGTACGCAAGAGTGCTACTTTAAACCCCTCTACCTCAAGTGCAATTTTATTTTTAGGCGCGTACCGTCTATAGCCGTGATCTACTATGTGCTTACAACAGGGGTAGCCTCGTGTCTATGCCCCCTATTGGACCAGTTCTCGTCAAAGAGGTTAACATTTTAATCGAAGAACGGCCGGGACAGATGTCGGAGACAAAGGTTCACGAAATTGTCCAATTTAACCGAACACACGAGTAATAGAGATGGTGGTTATCAAAACATGTTAATTAAGAGCTATATTTGGTTGGCTTGCCTCAAATAGCATGTCCCCTGACGAGTGAATTTGGGGATTATGGTGGTAACGACAAATTTTAGTGCTGTCTAGACGAAAACACTCTCAAGAGGTTCTGATTAAGCGTGTACCCAGACATTTTGGCACGCTAGTAGTAAAAAGCAGTCTGACTGGCTTTTTCTCATCCAATTGGCCAAATATCCATTTAGTCATTTAACAATTGGAATAAGCAGTGATTGATCGCTTTACTTTCAGTCGTTGTTAGACCTATGCTGGCATCCCTTTAGCGTTAGTTCTGCGAAATCCGATAAAACAAACCACTCCAGTGGTGCAAGAAACAATGTTTTAAAGTTATTTCAACAGGTACGAAATCAGGACAGCAATGTTTGTAAATTGTGCTTGTTTATATTAGTTATTTTTTATTTTTAATCTCTGGCCTAAAGCGATTTCTTGCTTTTTTAAGGACACACTTGTTGGATACTATTTTGGGACTAAGAATTGAACTAATTAGATGCCTTCAGCATAGATAATCAATCAAACATTTGAATTTCGCGTCATTTTCAAAAATTCCATAGCCTCAACTCGCATTTGCGATCACTTCTGTGAAAAGCTGTTAGTTTTTCCTACCAGCTGCTTCACTTAAACGTACCGAAAAGCCAAGTGGTGTAATTTTTATGGGTCAAATCAACTTCTTAAAAATGACAGTTTTTCATGGAATATGTCTGCTAGAGGGTGTCAAAAGTTGACTCCTTCTCACGTAAGCTGCAGTCGTGTTCAAATGCCTATTTTGTTCTGTAGTAATGGTACAGTCGTATGCTCACGTTTAACAAAATTTTGGCCAATTTTTTAATTTGTTTATCTTCAGCAGCCAAATGGACAAAAATGGCAATAATTTTTTTTAAAGAATGCAGTTTAATTTAAGCAAAGTTGGTCTTGTTAAAGGCCCACGTTTTGGGCATTCGTCATGGACAATTTTACACGCTCACTCCATGGTTTTGCTGCTGTTTCCAGCCTGCTGCAGCACAGTTGATCTCAACTATGGGATACTGGTTGCTAGCACTTTTGGTATGACCGTGCAGTAATCCAGCTTGCGCATAAAGAGGACGTGCCCGGTCTCAGCCGTTTAAGAAGCACTAGTCCTTTCTTGTTCTTCCGCATGGACAAGCATATTCTCCATGTTAAACGGCGCTTATGCTGCTTCCTTGAACTTAACAGTCAACGTTTCTACGTGTTGTGCCAAAGATGGTTCATCTGTCACCGGGCGTCACAGTCTACCCGAAATTAGCAAATCTAAGAGACGATGATGACATGTTTCCCCCCTTTTTCCCCAAAAATGAGCCGGTGGGATGCTGCTTTTTACATTCACTCCCTTTACCACTAAGGGGCATGTGGATATTTGTTAAAAATATCTCCAAGTCACTACTACCAGTGCTATTTTAAAACACTTTAACAGCCGATGAAGTGAAAACTGGCCAATGACGTTCTTTTCGGGTGTATTAAACAGACATCACGTTTTACTAGGTGACCAGTTAATCTTTTTCGCTATAAAACAAACTAGAAAATGATGCTAGACGATTTAGCGTGTTAATTTCTCGAGGATATTTAGGTGACTAAGTTAATTTGACTTTCACCAAAACACGCAGTTTATTTTCGCCCTAATGATTAATTCCTCTTCAATAACAGCTTCTAGCTTAGTCTAAACGAGCAAATTTAAGGTCCGACTGTCATTGGCAAGCTGCAAGACTTGCTCAGACGGATTGGTTGGTTTGTTCTGTCTCATCAAACGGGCATAACAGTTAAATCAAGTCATCGTTTTCACTTGATCAACTTGGTACCAAGCGGTCTTCAAGTTACGATCGAAGTTACGAAAATGTTAAAAGGTACTTAATTACTAAGTATCTTCACAATTCCGACTGTGGTGGTGTACAGGGAAGCATCAGTTCAGAGAAGACTTTTCGAAAATGATAATACTCTATAAGAACAAATCATTTTGTACAAGCCTTTTCAGTTTATTCCCTGTTGCCTTTGGGTGTTTAAGTGAGGTGCTCAAAATGCATGGTGAAGTTGTGTCAACTTAGATTTTTATCGCCTTATTGGTAATCAAAAGCCGCTTCGGCTTACAACTCTCATTCCACATTATCCGACCATTCTGATCGATTTACGGTAAAAAAAGCTGGAATAGTCCCGCCAAAGTATGTCTGCATACACTTTACTGACGGGTGGAACAATCAACTGACAACCTAACGAGGTTTTATCAAGCAAGTTCAGAGTAATCACAACAAAATCTTCTCTTAGGAACCCACCAACTACAAAACAGTAGTAAATGAAGGATTGTCGGTAATTTTTAATGTTTTCTTTTCTGAAACGGAATCATGGTGTTGACCACATATAGGAGACACGTTTTCCCAGGAAAAATTAATCGAGTCATTCTGCATCGTAGACGTGAAATTTGCCCTGGGTTCTTCTGTTCTGCGGGTCTTCTCTCCCGGTTTTTTCCCAGATAACTTTGACCCGCAACTGGGTCCTGTTTTATTGCATAATTCATCTGTCTTCAATATGCGAACACCCCATGACAAGGACTAACGGTTACTCATGGTGTGTGGAAATGAGTCAGACGATGTGGTCTCCCCCAATGAAGTCTTATCTTTGCATTATCCCGGCTCTACTATGTTTCTATTTCACTACAGTTAAGCTGTAGGCACTTTGTTTAAAAATTCTGAAGTACAGAGAGCACGCGCCCCTCGGAGTTTGATTTTGAAGCTGCGCACATCATCCTAAACCCGAATCGCAGTGTTTGCCAGTATCTTTTTGCTAGGGAACATGAATCTCCTAGGTAGAAGGGCTGTATCTGCACACTCCTAAAGTGGAAATGATGGCATAAAAGTCATCCCAGAGTCTAATTGACAGGTTGGAGGGAATCCTTGTCAGTTGAAAGCCCACAAGAGACGTATTACTTAGTTAATTGCATTGCAGAGCATTTGTGGTGATTATTTAAATCAAAGTTAGTGGACAGGAAGTGATGTCCAATGCATTAGGCAGTTTTGATTGTCTCTAAGCTAAAATTTGTGGATGGGCTGCAAAATAACCTTATTCATTTACTTGATTGTTAAAACATAGCTTTGGTTATTGTTTGGAACACCACAGCAGGGAAGATTCATGAAGCTCAGTCATGCGCACACCTCGGTTTTAAATTCTAACAGAGTCGATTATCTCTGTTTCCACCGTTGGCTCCCACGACTGAATAATTCAGCTCAACGGGCAAGATTTTGGTCTTCGTCAAAGCAGGCGCCCGTCTGACAGGCTGTAATTAGACGGACGGAGACAGTTGCGCTGAAAGTCAAATGACGGACATTGCTAAAGACTGTTGCTACAGACAACGGCGGAGAGGGTCATTTTGGAAAAAAATTGAAGTCTGTCAGTTGCGAGGCCAATGAGGTTGTCGGAGTACAAGCACTAACATCTACCGGGAGTTTCTTTAAATAATTTTCAAGTAATTTACAGTGGCCTCCTTGCTTTCTCCAGCTTTTGGCAAAGCGTCCTCGTATGCGGCAATTTGCTATTTTGGGTTAAAAATAGGCTAAAGACCACCAGCTGAAGTCGTCTGGACAAATGACTCATAAGTAACACGGTTCCTACTTTGAGCGAATTCCGCTGGTAGCTGCGTACTAACCTAAAATCATCTTGGCACCACAGCCCAATTAAGCACATATTTTATTTTCACAGTATCGCGTAGTTGACGTGTTTTTGTCCTATTTTTGCGTCTTCTTAACAAGTATTTACTGGAAACTCGAAACAGCGTGCCGGCTTTTCGTCTCCTAGTAATTACTTTCCCTGTAAGCAATTTCTAGTCGACAGGCATCGCTAGAAGCAATTTGCGATCGATTTGAAATTTCCATGTAAAAAATGGAAAGCGGCATCTTTTTTTGGGTCCTCTAGTGGACCGTCAGGGATCGCGAGTAAGTGAAGTCGGTTTACCGATCTAGCTCTGTCAATGACTCATACCTATTTCATTGGTTACTGTAACCAATCGATAGTCACCCGCTCACGCATCCACTCAATAAGACACACTTGACTGGCGTAACGCTAATTAATGGTCGTATCTACATTGTCGCCTGCCTTGCCTCTCTTCAAAGGCTTTATGAGGATTGTTAATTAGAGGGTTGTAAAGTAGTGCTAAGCAAGCCACTACAGTCCCACCAGATTCATTCGGTCTAATCCTTGAATGTACATTGCAAGAAACAGCAGAAGATGCACCCTTCAGGCATATTAGTTGAAAGTATCATGAATACTATTGGTAGGCAGTTCCACGCCTTTTATTGCAATCCTCAAACATAGTTAATTTTAAAATGAGTTGAATTAATTCTACAAAAAAGCCTGTTTCGTACGCAGCAAACGGTCCACCATTCCCTAAACCCTTCTACTTTTATCTCTTTCCCGGAAATCAAATCACATATTTGTATTTTATGATTATTAGGTTGGCAGAAAATTAATGCCCTTTTTATCACTTGTCCAAAAGATATTAATGAGTCTGATTTCAGTTTCTTTTTTAAAACACACCAACCACGTTCAATGCGGTTTTGACAAAATACTGCAATTCTTCACCTCTGGTTTGAAATTTAGGTAGAGTAAGGTGAAAGTCACGTCACTTCTAATTAAGGCTTGCAATCAACCATCCAACAGGGCATGTGTGGGTCTAATTATGTTCCCTTAATAATCACACACTTGTAGGCGAAACGTCAGAGCCATAAAGCAAGGCCGTTATTATTCTAGCCATTTCCTTCGCTTAAATGGCGTTGGTCGGGTTGCATAAATTGCCACTTGAAACTCTACAGCAGCGTGTTTAGATCGAAAGGTCTCTACAACTTTAAAAATGTCGATTATTCAAAAGACATGTTCATCGCGTCACTTTAAATTTAGCCTGATTTGTAAAGTTTGCATGAAAGCATCAAATATTTAGCCGTTTTGA